CTGAGTCTAACATGTGTTTAAAATCGGGGTCTGAATGCTACAAATAGCAGTGCCGTTATTGCCAGGCTGGATCATGCCCAGGGTCCATATCTGCTGTTGTCCTTGTCTCTGACAGAGACCAGCAACTGCTGCTCCTGGGAAAGGCACAAAAGCACCTGGAGGGACCTCGCATCCCAGCTCCCAACCGTGCAAGACCTGGGCACCTGATCCCCATGCTCAGTGCCGTTTGAAGCAGTCCACCCCAGCTCTGCTCAGCCTCGTCCTCAGTCAGATTTTCCTACTGCAAGCCTGGGCCTCTGTCCGTCTGCCTGTCCATCAACCAGCCGGTTGTGTGCATACCTGGAGAAAAATGCTGGGGCTGGAGGAAACGGGAGGTAGTTTGGAGAGATGGTGCTAGGAGGAAATTTTGCCACCACCTTCTGTTTAGTGACTCAAGTTTGCTCCTTCACAGCCTGCCCTGTGCTCCTGGGGCCCCGTCCTTTTATCTCCGTGCTTTGTCCAGCCTCTTTCACCTGCCTGTCCAGCCCGTGCATGGTGCAATTACTCAGAGGAAGCAGGGGATGAGGCAGGGATGGAGGATGCTGCTTAGGACCTACAGCGCTGTGCTACCCAGGTGATCTTTCCCCAGCGCCAGCACAGTTCTAGCAGCGAGGTTTCGGGGGCTAATCAAGATCGACAGACAAACAGAGCAGCATCTCTGCATCTCGGAGCCAGCAGAAAGGGAGAAGCAGATGGGCTAGAGGAGGCAGGGAGCTGCTGCTAAATGGATTGATGGAGAGGCCTTTAAGAGAGATGGATTGGAGAGGGAGCCGCTGGAGGAAAGGGCTGGGGCGGCCACGCTGCGAATGGGGCAGGGGCCCAGGGAGATGATGGGAAGGGAGAAAGGCCTGCAGATAACAGATGGATGGACACAAAGACTGGAAGGGAAGAGAGGGACAGATGGACAGGCAATAGAGAGAGTCAGGAGAAGAGAGGGATCTGAACGTAATTAGATTGGATCCGATTATGACAGACTCGATTAGAGCAATATTATGATCAGGAGCTTCTGTCGCTATTTGGCTTTTAGGGGGGAACAAAGCCAGAGAGCACGTGTGGAAGGGGGACAAGCAGAGGCGAAGGGAACTGGGAAGGATGAAAGGAAAGGGGCTCCTTGTGAAAGCTGTCAGTGGTGGTGGTGACAGATTGTCTAGTTATCGAGCACCGGGGCCGTCTGTCACCGACCGCTCACAAAACCTGCACTCAATAAAAGCCAGGGAGACAAAGGCGAGGAGAGGAGAGGGGCTATCGGAGCCGAGAGCTTCTGTCACGAGCCAGGCAAGCGTGCCCAGGGCGTGGGGTGTGCTGTGCAGAGCAGGGCCCTGCTGTTATGAGCTGGGCGCACGCACGAGGAAACACGGGGGTGCGCACAAACACGTGTGCTGAGAGGTGCTGGGCTGTTCCCTGCCACCCATGCTCACACATGCCCTGCAGCCCTGCAGCATCACCCTGAGCGATGGCTCCTGTGCTGCTCAGGTGTTCCTGGGGTGCTGCATCCCACCGAGTGCCTGCGAGGTGCCTGGAGCATCACCTGGCCATGTCACGGTGTGGTCGGCGAGGCCGTGCACCGGCTGCATGGAGCAGCCCGAGCCCTGCAGCAGTTGGTTGTAACAGAGCGCTGCAGCCCAGCCCTCTATGAACCATGCATGTGCACACCTGGAAGAAGTGTAACGGCACCAAACTGTCACTCCAGGTGCTGGAGGACCTCTTCTGCAGGCCCAAAAACACCAGAGAAGGCTTTGCTGTGAGTGAGCAGCTGGGTCATGGCAGGAGCACAGGGGAGCTCAGCAGAGCTGTCTGAGTTTTGTTCTGCAGAGGGTCCCTGCTGGACGGGCGGGACGTGGTCCCACCATGTGCATGAAGATGCCAGTCCTCAGGAGCAGAAGTGGACACGTCCCAGCATCAATGCTCTTTCCAGCATCCGTGAGTCGTGGCAGGGATCTCCCTCGCGCTCTCCCACCCATCGCGCAGCCCCTCTCTGTATAAAAGTCCCCAAAACTCTGGCTGGGTCTGCTCCAGCAGCCCAAGGGTTAAAGCTGCCTGTTTTCCCTGACAAGCAGAGGCCAGCGTGGTCCCCGGTGGCTTTGTACAATATGTCGCCTCATCTCCTGCCAAATGCTGCCTCTTGGAGCCTCTTTTCATACCTCGCCGTGCCCTCCCTGCACGCAGCCGGGAGCGGCATCCCCCGCGGGGGTCCCCGGCCGTGCCTCCTCCCGCGGCTCATCCCCAAAACCCCTGGCTCGAGGTGGGCAAAGCCCGGAGGGCTCCGTCCCCTAAGGCGGGAGCCCTCCAGGACCCACCTCGACCTCACCCTCGCAGGTCGAGGCGAAGCTGGCGAGAGGTTTTTGAAAGTTGGCTGCGCTCCCGCTGCCATTCACCAGCTTCGTTTGCTGCTTGAATGCCGTGTTGAAAGGGAGGCCCAGGAATTCGGAGGGAAGGAGGGCTGTCTGCAGGCTCCGGCTTGTGGGCTCCTGCGATTAAGAAACCCGGTTGGTTTTGGGGAGGGATACCAGTTTCTGCCGGTCAGGAAGTTGGGAAATTGAGAAGGGAAGAACAAAGCCACAGGGTCTCTTGTTCTCCCTCCCCCAAATCTCATCAGTTTTTGGCCAGCCTTAGGATACCTGAAGCTCCTGAGTTCTTTCTAAGGAGGCAGGGAAGGAGGCAGCAGCCAAACTCCCGGGGACCACAGCTGCTCACGTGGGCTCTGAGCAAGGGAAGGTCACAGCGGAGGGGGGAACTTTGGCTTGGATTGCAGGAGAAATGTCTTGACGTTCTCGCTGTGCCGTCACCCTCCCACGAGACCCGTGGCCATGGCTTCATCTTGGCGCGGCGGGGAGGAGCAGCCCTGCCGGTGCTCATCTCACCCACCGAGAGCCCCTGTGAGCACAAGGGCTGCGTCCTGCCCACGGACACATCTCACGGACGAGGAGCAGCCAAGCTGAGGGACGTCCCCAGGTGAAGTCCTCCCTGCCGGCAGCGAAGGGACCTTTGCGATCTGAGCTCTTACCTGCAGAAAGAGGAAGGCTGGGAGTCAGCTGAGGGCAGAGTTAAGGTGATGGCAGGCTGGGGCTGGGATCGTCTGCTGTGCTTGTGTCACTGGGGCCGTGCAGAGGGCTGTCCTGGCTGATGTCCCGCACCTCGGGGCTGAGCCCGTGTCCTTTGCAGGGGCAGGATGCATCTGCCCAAACCTGGAGAGAAAAACTTGAGTGGGAGCCTGCTGAAAGGAGCAGGAACCTGCCCGCTCGCCTGGACGCTGCGGTGGCCACGAGGCCGGCACAGCCTGGGCCTGGCATCCCTGCGGGGAGGCTCCAGCAGCTTCGCTCCTTCCCTCCCCTCCTCCCCGAGCCCAGCCCGGCAGGATGCCCGGAGCAGCCCAGCATCAGCTGCAGCGAGAGGTGGGGCCCTGCTGGCGTCCTGGCAGGGGGAGAGGAGCTGGCCCTGGGGGTGGGCAGGCGAGACGGAGCAGAGGAGGGAGCAAGAAATAAATGCGAACAGCCCGTCGGGCTCTCGGGGGAGACGGGGGCCCAGGCGGAGCGCTGCCGCGCGTGCGGAGAGAGGAGGGGGACGCAGGGGGCTGTGGGGCTGGTGAGTGGTGCCCGTGCCCCTGTGGACGTGCGTGTGCTGCTCGTTTCCACATGCAAGAGGGGTGATTTGTGTGAGGAGCGTGTGAGAAGCGTGCGCTGGGTGCGGGGTGCGCGTTGCATCCAGCGCCTTCTCCAGGCGTGCTGCGCCTCGCGCGCGCGTTCGTCTCGGGGCGGATGTGGCGACTGCCACGAGCTCATTAGGCGAATATTGTTTTATAATCAGTGCCATAGCAATGGTGAGGCAGGCTCCTCGCTGCCACCTGATCCCTCTGCCTCGTCCGCCGCACGCCCTGCAAAACTCCGAGACCATCTGCTGATCCGTGCCACGGGCTGGAGCCCGCCCAGGTGCCGATGCCCATCACCTGGGCTTCGCCCGCTGTGCGGGGAGGGGAGGCAGCCCCCAGGGACTGGGAGCAGGGCAAGAATCCAGCACCTGGGGGAGGGATGGAGGGGGTGACGGCAAGCAAACTGCAGGGAGGTCTGGGAGGATGCACACAAGCACATAGGTATGTGTGGGACAGGGGATGCACAGGTTTCTGAGACGGGAGGTTACCGGTAACAAACTCGAGCAGATTTTTTCAAGAGTTTAATGCAAGAATCTGAAATCTAGGAAGGGTGAGAGGCGGAGATGGTCTAACCCACAAAAGAGATCACTGCTTCGTGGTTGGCAGTGCTTTGGAGCAGTACCCGTGTGTTCTGGGCACCTCTTCCTTTCACTTTCTTTCTCCTCACCAAACTTTACTCCAGGTGAGTTTCCCAGCAGCTCAGAGGCAGCACCTACGGGACGGTTGCTGCTGCTGCTGCTGCTGCTGCTGCTGGAGCCCGTCTGGGAGAGGCTCCCAGCGGCCCAGGCACCCATGGGTGCTCACCTGCCCCACGTGCAGACCCACGGCCGGGTGATGCACGCTGCCGGCTGCTTGCACGCGGACACACGTGTGTGCCAGCAGTGCACGGGCACACAGCCTGCCTTGCACACGCACCCACACCACGGAGAGCTGCGCCGTCGGTCCCGCTGCTTCTGCAGCCGCCTCTCCTCGTCCCAGCCCGGCGCAGAGCCTCGCCTGCCCATCGCTCTCTTTCCACGCTCTCTCCCCATCTCTCCATTTCTCCTTTATGAAATATGCATGGAGAACAGATGTCGCCTTCTCCCGGAGCACCCCCACCCTCCTCCCTCCCTCCCTCCCAGCCCACCACCTCCATCCACCCCTCCAGGACCACATCCAACCTCCACCTCCCTCCTCTCCCGGGGGCTCCAACCTCCCGCACAGCCAATGGCATCCCCCTCTCTTGGCTTTAATATTTATGAGGGGGGGAGCACCGGAGCGGCCAATGAGGCTGCCGGGGTCGGACCCGGCGTGCGAGGCTGGGGTGTATATATAGCGTGCGGGGCACATGCCTCCTCGGGGTGTCCATCTCAACGCGCGGTGGCCCGCCGGCGTTCCTGCCCAAGGGGTGAGATGCCAGGGCCCCGAGGCCACCGGGGCTCCCCCTGAGCCCCGGCTCCATCCCGCCAAGCAGGACACCAACTTTCCACCTCCTCGATGGACGGATGAGCCAAGCGGCTCCTGGCTCCCTGGATTATTTGAGCTTCTGGAAGGGAAAAGCTGGAGCCCGGGAATGGTCGGCGGCTTGGGGGTAAGGGGCCTCTCCTCGGGGTGGGATAGCAACGTGCCCGGCTGCTGCTGGGGGCTTTGGTGATGCTGAAATGTGAGTGGGATAGGCGGGGAGGTGCGGGGGCAGCGGTGTTACGTGCTCCAGGTGCTCTCGGAAGGGGTGCCTGCGCTTTGGGGCCACCTTTAAGGCACGAGCACGCACTCGTGTCCTTCGCTTCGGGCTTGGCGGTGACCTGGGGGATTCTGTTCAGAAACAAGGGAAGGAGCCCCCGCTCGAATGGCCTGAAAGTGGGCTCCTAGGCACAGCCTGCATCCTCTTTGCGTGGCCAGGGAGTCTTCAGAAATTGTCGCACCGCTGGTCTGGAGTGCAAAGGAAAGGGAAAGGGGGGAGAGCAAGGGGCTGGGGAGCTTTGCTTCCCCTCGAGGCCATCCCTGGGGCTTTGCTGGAGGCAGGGCTGGGACAGGCAGGGTTTTACAGGAGGTTCTTGCAGCAGATGGCTTTAGGAAGGTGGCAGTTTATGGTTCATCCAAAGGAAAGAGCCCCTCAGAGCGCACGTTTCAGAGGAAAGCTGCTTGAGGCTGGACTAACCCTGCAAAGAAGGAGCAGGGTAAGGAGTACTGAAACTTGTCCTGCTGACATCTTCCTGCGACCAAGAGCAGAGAGAGGCCTCGGGCAGGACTCCTGATAACCCCTAAAATTCACTCACAAGGATGCTGAGACGGCGACAGCAACACATCCCACAGCCCTCTGCACTGGCACGCTGCTGTGCGGGGCTCGGGCTGGTCCTGAGCCTGCTCCCCATCCATCTGCCCAGGGAGGAGAGGTTTTGCAGCCTGTCCTCCCCCAGGGATGGCAGTGACAGTGTCACAGGAGGCTGAGGGGAGGCTGGGGCTGGAGGCTATCGTTCCTCTCCTCCCCTGCCCCGTGTTGATGGGGCCGGGGCGCAGCGCAGCAGCTTCTCGCCACGGGCTGGATGCAGCAGCGCAAGAGGAGAGGGGGCCCCTTGAATTCAGGGCAGCAGCACTGGGATAACGGGGGCAGAAGAGGTCACGAGCGTGGCCCCAGGAGCAAGGGGGAGTGTTTAAAGAGGAGCCGCACGCCTGAGCACCACCCTGGGTGTCCGCACGCTGACTCCTCACCGCACCCCAGGTCCAGCACCGGGCGCAGGGCTGCTGTGCCACATGTCCGGCCCCAGAGTCGATGTCCTCCCTTCTCCCAGCCCCGCTGCAGCTTCCCCGGAGCTTGGGCTCGTGGCTAGAGCCACAGCAGCTGGGAGCAATGCTCCAGGGAGCCATATAATGAGCAGGAATGGTGTGACCACGCAGGAGCACGGCCGTGGTGACAAGGTGGCCACGCAGAGCAGTGGCAGAAGGGATGCTCGGCTCGGGCACAGCTTGCTTTGAGCTGCTTGCACCCTGACACGCTGCTCCCAAGCAGCCAGCAGGGAGGGACAGAGCATGAGGAAGGAGGTCCCGGCTCTGCGGGAAGGGGACAAGAGAAACAAGGGGCTGGGGAGACGAAAGCAAGATGGGAACGGAGGAGGTTGAACAGGGTGCAGGAGGCACGGCCGTCGTACACAGATACAGCAGCTGTGGCTGATGTGGGAACTTCAGGTGTGTCTGTGTGGGTCCAGCTTCGCTGCCCGCAGGCAGAGCAAGTCAAACACGAAGCCAAACTCAGGCTCGCCCTAAGGACAGCGTAGTTTATGTCATGCTGAAAGCCTTGAGGGTATCTCCCGGGAGCCACCTTTCTATCAGCCCTTACTTAAAGCAGCTCCTTCCGTCTTCTCCAGGCTAAGGGCTTCACGGGGATAACTTTTTGTTCAGGGTTTTGGTGCTTTACTTGCGCTGCCGCGCTGTCCTGTGTTTCAGATAAGAAAAAAAAAAAAAAAAAAGAAAGAAAAAAAAGTCCAGCTGTTTTTTTTTTTAGTGAGATCTGAATATTCTAGTGTGTGTAGATGCCTGGCGGGGCAAATATATGAGCCTGGGTGTAAATTACCGTGCGTAAATGGATGTGGGATTCTCACAGAGGAGTTTTTGACTGGGACCACTCGCGGGTATGTGCTGGGATGTGTGTGTGGAAGCACACAGGAACAGCCACGTATGTTAGTGTGGGGACAGGGGGACGGTGCAGTCCCTCCCGTGCTTGCTTAGGGGGTTCCTTGTGCTTCCTGGGCAGCGTTTCTGTAAATGCACATCAAGGCTCTGTCCATCAGCCGCCTTTTAAAATGGGACGTGGGCTATTTCTCCCCAGTCATCGCCTGTCCATATTCGTTTAGGTTCCATTTCTCAGTCATATGGCTCATTACAAGCTTGTCAGGCCTGAGCGATGTAATATGTTGTACATCTCTGCCTGGCTGCCTTCCCAGCCCCGCTGCCGTCTCTTTGCGCAGCAGCGTTTCCCCTTCCGAAGTTTGTTCCCCAGCCTGTCCCCTGCCCGGGGACAATGTCCCTGCAGCAATCCCTTCTCTCTCCCCATGCTAGGGCTCAGGGTCCCCAAGCTTCAGTGCCGAGCAGCGGAGGCAGCAGGCAGGGGAGAGGGGCAAGGACAGGAGGCAGCCTTCCCGGCCGGCGGCACGGCGTCCCGGAGGGAGCGGGCAGCCAGCTTCTATTTGGACACATCAAGCAAAGCAGCTGTGTTGGGTTCCATATGTCTGGGGTGCCAGGATCCATGACATACGGGCTCATTTAGTATACAATAAGCCCCCCTTCCCCTCGCCCCCGCAGTCTGTTTTTCCCCTTCACTCATCCACCACCTGTCATCTCTCCGGAGAGCCAGGAGAGGCGGCTTCCACCTTCTCCCCGCGCCGCTCCGCGGGCTCCTTCTCCGCCACCGGAGCCCCATCCCAGCCCGACGGGGACAGGTTTTCCCCTGGCCACCACCACAGGGCAGCCGGAGCAAACCGTCACGCATCCAGCATCCCCTTTCCATCCTGCCCAGCGGCTCTGAGAGCCCCTCTGCTTCTTTTTTTTCCAGAGCGCGCCGGAGGAGCTCGGCTCTGACACCTGACGGCTCCAAGCCTGGGTCCTGCCGCGGCTGCACGGGGGAGCCCCCGGTCTCTGTGCACCTGCAGGGTGCCAGCACCGAGGATATTTATTTATTTATTGCATTTCTATGCATCCTGCCCTTTTATCCACGTGGTTTATTGTTGAAGCCGTCCCCCACCCAGCGAGGAAAAGGGAAAAATTTTGAAATTCCCTTGCAGGGACGGTGTGTGATGAGGAGGAGGAGGAGGAGAATAAGCAGGGGTTCGCTGTGAGCCGGGGCCCTTGTTCAGGCGGAGCGGCTTTGCTCCGACGTGGTGCCCGCGTCAGTCTGTCCTGCAGTGCCTCCTGCCCAAAGCATCCATCCATTTGCCCGCCCTCCCCTCCTCTGCTAAGATGATGCTCAACTCGGACCAGACGGAGATCGACCTGCCCCCGACGCACTCCGAGTCCGAGTCCGTCTTCAGCGACTGCGGCCGCGCGGGCAGCGTGGAGGACGCCGGCGGCGTGGGGTTGTGCGCCCCGTCCCGCATGGCCGAGCAGGGTGAGGCCGTGAAGAAAGACCTGCAGCACCTGAGCCGCGAGGAGCGCCGGCGCCGGCGGCGTGCCACAGCCAAATACCGGACAGCCCACGCCACGCGGGAGCGCATCCGCGTCGAGGCCTTCAACATGGCCTTCGCCGAGCTGCGGAAGCTGCTGCCCACCCTGCCGCCGGACAAGAAGCTCTCCAAGATCGAGATCCTGCGCCTGGCCATCTGCTACATCTCCTACCTGAACCACGTGCTGGACGTCTGAGCCGCCCAGCCTCCGTCCGTCCGTCCGTCCGTCTGTCTGCCACATCTCCTACCTGGACGTGTGCTGGGCATCCGAGCCAAGAGCTCAAGTCCGTCTGTCCGTCTGCGACCTGCGCCACATGTTGGGCATCCGAAATGCTGTGCCTGCATCCACCCGTCTGTCCGAATGGACCGAGTCCCCATCCGCCTGCTCTGTTCCCCCTCCCCTGAACTACGGTCTGTATTCCCCCACCACCCAGCCCACGTCCGTCTGTCTGTCTGTCCTGAGCCAGGCTGGCTGTTCGGTCCATTGGCCGTCCGTCTGTCCTGCTGGATCTGCTGCCTCAAGGCCGTGCTGGCCGTGTGCGCTCCCAGCTTCTGTCCGTCCTCCTGCTGCGCGTCCCGCTGAGAGCACTGATGGGATCCTGAGCCTGCATCCGTCCTTCTGTCCACCACATCCACTGCTCGACCCACAGCAGGAGCCTCCAAGCCCAAGTTTCTCTGCGTCACCTCTTTTACACCAGCCACAAACCAGACCCGTGCAGCCCCAAGCAGCTCTGGGGGTTTGTCCATCTGTCCGTCTGCACCTTTGGCCACCGGGCACAGCTGTTCGGGGCGCTGGGGCTTTTGCTGCAGTTCTGCTCCTAGCGTTGTGCTGGGCACCTGGGGGTCCACACGGGGACCTTGCTGCCACCCCAGCCCACTCTGCCCAGCAGCATCCACGGGCACAGAGCAGCTCCTCGGGGTTTGTCCTGGCCTGTCAGCAAGCACAGGGCACGCTGCTCTGCCACAAGGTGCCCAGAGCCACGCTGTCCCTGATCCCATTGCAGTGGAGCTGCCTCCACCCGGGGCCTGGCCAAGCTCCTCCATTGCACATCTGCCCCAAAACCTCCTGCTTTGGGAGCATCAAACCCCAAACCCGTGCATCCCCGGCTTTGCTGCCCTGGGCTCTAGTGCAAAATGAGCGTGGAGCCCCCCTGGCCCTTTACTCACCCTCTTTGCACCAACATCCACGACCACCCAGAGCGATCTTCACTGTCCCCCCCAGCATTCCCTCTGCCTCCCCTATTTTTTTTATTAAGAGTTAATTTTGCACTGGCAGCAGCAAGAGCACAAGCAGAGCCCTGCAGGGACCAGGACCGAGCCGAACCCCCCCAGCACACACAAAGGCAGCGCTCTGCCGGCTGCAGGACAGGCAGGGGCCAGGCCCTCAGCGTGGGACCAGGGAGATGGAGTTGGAGGGCTGGAGGGGAAATGTTCTTGGTGAGAGTTGGTGTCCTGCAAACACCATGAGGGCAGCCAAGCAGGGATTCCTCCTCCTCCCTCCCCACTGTCTGTCTGTCCTGCTGCCCGCTCCCCACAGCCCCTGCCCTCCTGGGGTCCCACACTCTGCTTTTTGCCCTCCTGAGATGGTCACGGCCATCCGAGCCCCAGTTCAGGAGCTCGCCAGCCTCCCAGCTCCATCCCTCTCCTGTCACCGCCACCAGCTCTCACCATCACCTCGCTCCGGACCTCATCTCCCCACTCCCTGCAGAGGCAGGGGACCTGCCACTACCTCTGTGCCACCAGGTACCTCCCTGTCACCAGGTACCTCCGTGCCACCAGGATGTGCCAGGGGCTGTGGCATCCCCGAGGGCCGGAGCAGGGCCCCATCACCACGGCGCTCAGCGGCAGAACAAAGCAGAGCAGGGCAGCCCACCCTTCCCCTCCACTCACAGACCACGTCCCTGTGCCACGAGGATATTTATTGAATTAATTTATTGATAAATGTTATTATTTATTTGCTGTGTTGTGCACTTTTTGGAAAGGAACCCTAGAAAGCAAGCAAGCAAACAATGACCATGGCAGAAAACAAAGCGACCCACCCTTGTACACGGTGTGCCCCAGCGTGTGTTTGTCTTGGCTGTTCAGACTGTGCAAGGATTTATTATTTATGAGTTCACGAGGAAGTCGGGGAGGGGGGAAATGAATTAAACCAACAGCAAAAGAGAGATCTTGAACTCGGAGTGCCCGGCTTCCCTTTTTTCTTTCCTTTTAACCTTGCTTTTGACCATCTCCTCCCGGCAGCCGTGGGATTCCCCATGCCTGTGGCCGGAGGTGGTGGCAGTGAGACCACAGGACCAGGAAGCATCCTCCTGGCTGGGCTGGGGCTCATAACTGGTCCTGGGCTTTTCCCCAGCTCTGCAGGCAGCGAGCACACGGGTGCTTGCAGGGTGGGGTGAAGCAACGAATCCGGACAGGGAATGGGCACCCCGGTGATGTTCCTCCTGGAAATGGGGAAGGAACAAAGCCACAGGGCTTATGCTGAACGTCCTCGTCCGGATCGCTGCTTCAGCCAGGCTGGGATGCTTCTTTCTAGTCCTTAGAGTTACCCGAGCCCATCCTGGGCACTGCAGCCACTGTTTTAGCCAGGAAAAGTAGCCCCCGAGCGGTGCCGTCCCTCTGGTGACAGCAGAGGGATGAGGACACCCAGTCCAGGCATCAGCATCTCCAAAGACACCCAATAAATCCACCTTCACCCTGGGAAATCAGCACAGCCCCGGCTCCAAAGTCACCCATCACTTGCCCATGCCCCTTTGCCCAGCAGAGCCCCCTCGGCCCCCTTCCCCACCCTTGTCCCTGGTCCCCCTTGTCCCTGTGAGCCCCCGGTGCTCTCCCCGCTTCCTCGGCCCACCCCGCGCCGTGCGGGGAAGCAAGTTTGCGGCTCCTCTCCTTTGTCTGCGCCGATCCCGCGCATCCCCGGGGGCAGGTTGCAGCTGTTCACCGACTTGCTCCAAATTTCTTCATATAATCAATTGGCCTCGGCTGCAGCTCGGCTCAGCGGAGATGCGTCAAAGGGGAAATAATAAAGATGGGGAGGGAGCGGGGGAAGGACGCGGGGAGGCTGCAGAGCCCCCGCACCGGCAGCAGGAGGAGGTGGGGAGGTGCAGGAGCAGCTGATGGAGAACTGGAGCCCCCAGCTCCTCCAGGTCTCACCGGGGATGTCTCCATCCCACCCCATCCAGCCCGGAGGTGGGAATCGGGTTAGGGAAGCTCGAGCCCCACCGCGGCTCCCAAACCTCTGCTGTCCCCGGCTGCCAGCCCCGGCCCTGACATATGGTCCTCATTGTGCCTCGCACAATGGCAACACTTCATGCTAATTCAGGCGCTGGTCCTGGCCTCGCTGTCATCTCCAACAGATTGGGTCCCTCGCCTGCTCTTTGTGCTCGCAAGGTAACGGGCAGCTCTGCTTCCCCTCTGCCTCCCCGAGCACTCCCCTAGATGCTTCCCCGCTCCCGCAGCCATCCCCCCTGTCCCCGTGCACATCTCCATCTCTCCATCCACTGCAGTGACGCTGGTCCCGGTGCGCACACGGGTGCGTGCCCAAGGAAGGCTTCACACAGCACTTGAAAAAAAAAAAAAAATGGAAAAGAGTCACAAACACACCGATGAGTGGGCATGCACGAAGCATCGAGCATGAGGATGAGGAGGTCGCCTCCTTTCCTGCTGCTCTTCCTCCCCCAGAAGGAGCAGGGGGCAGGACGGGACACCCCGCTTTGGGGAGGGGGAAGGACCCCGCTTGTCTCAGCAGCAGCAGCAGGGCCAGGCGTGCCCTGGAGCGGGTGGCCAGGAGGCTGTGTCCCCAGGGATGTCACCACGGGCAGCAGCTGTGTCCCCAGCTCGCCTGGATGAGGCGGCAGTGCCATCTGCTGGGTCCCCAGAACGGGGTCCTCTACACTGACGTCAGGCTGGGGACCCCAGCGCCCTGCAGCAGCTTCATCCCCAGGCAGAGCAGGTGCAAGGGACAAGGGGAAACAGCCCCAATGCGCTCAGGTGAGACCTCCCCAAAGCACCTTCAGTGTTCAAAATGCTGCTGTCGATGCTTGTTTAGGGCCCAGCTGCTGGGAACGGTGAGCCCAGACCCTAAAGGGCCGATGCCCTAAGAGCCAGGGAGCAGATCCCCTGCTTCCAGACACGGCAGCGGGCTGCCTCGACAATATCCCAGCTGAGAAAAGCAGCAGCAAGGCAATAAGCGGGCAGGAGGGCACACGGCTGGTGCTGTTTGGGACCTGCTGTCCCCCCCCCAGCAGGGTCACAGCATGTGGGGCAGGGGCAGGAGGGTGGCCGGGTCTCTGCCGCCCGAGGGCTCGCAGACAAACATCTGCAGGGAGGGTGCAGACGCTGCTGATCCCGCCCGGGGCAGGGCTGCTGCTTTCTAGGACTCCTAATCTCCTGAGCTATCTGGCTGGAGCCTTCGCCCGACTCGGTGGTGGAGCAACAAACCCAGCCGTGACTCCCAGGGAATGCCTCGGGGTCGGACCTGCCGGGGCTGGAAGGGGCAGCGAGGGTCCCATGCAAGAGGATTTTGGGGTCAAGGCAACACGGAGCTGGTGCTGGGGACGCTTTTATCCCTAGGAGGTGGGTGCACGGTGCCTGGCACCCCCATTATGCTGAGCCCCGGTGCTGGGCAGCTTTGCAGGCTGAGGCTTTTTGCCTGCTGCCCTGAGCAGGGTGCGGAGGGAGGGAGGGGACCGTCCCTGTAAATCACAAGGTGGAACAATGCGGCCCTTCCCAGATGGCGGGGAGGCTCCGGCAGCCCCAGCTGGCCAGGAATGAGCTCCCAGGGCCCATTAATCACTCCCGGAGCCGGAGCTGGAGCGAGAGGACAGCCCGGGGCAGCTGGCTGCAGGGGGAAGGGGGGGGGGAGCAGAGGGGCCCCCACCCAGCAGCGATCCCCAAAGCCCTGCGGGGCCGCGAGGGCCCAAACCCAGGCGGGGTTCCTGCACCCCCCCAGGGCTGCACCTTGAGGCCAGCCTCAGGGGCTCGCGGGGCCTGTTTCACTGCATGAAAATAGGGGGGGGGGGGCAGTGATCCCCCCCCTAGCTCCGGGCCTGGAGCCAGGGGAGCACCTCTTTGCAGGTGGAGGCCGAGAGCGACCCGGAGCAGCCCCAGGGGCCACGGTTGAGGCTGGGCTCCCGCAGGATCAGGCCCTGCTCGGCCTCCACCAGAGCCAGAAAGGAGGAAAGGAGCCGGGAGGGCCTGGGTGAGGGAGGGTGGGGGGGTCCCCGAGGTGCCCCCAGCTCAACCCCACAGCCTTGTGGGTCTCCTTTGCCCCACGGCCGGCTAGGGGAAGCCTCAAGCCTCCGAAAGCAGTGGGGAGGCTGTGGGGCTGTGCCTCTACCTGAGGAGGCTGGGGGGGGCCCTGGGGGGGGTCGGGGGGATCTTGGGGAGCACCCTGTGGGGCTGGGGGGGTGATGCTGGGGGGGACCCTGGGGGGTCCCTGGGGGGTCGGGGGGATCTTGGGGAGGATGCTCGGGGGCACCCTGTGGGGCTGGGGGGGTGGGGCTGGGGGGGACGCTGGGGGGTCGGGGGGATCTTGGGGAGGATGCTGGGGGGGACCCTGTGGGGCTGGGGGGGTGATGCTGGGGGGTGATGCTGGGGGGTGATGCTGGGGGGGTCGGGGGGACCTTGGGGAGGATGCTGGGGGGGGACCCTGTGGGGCTGGGGGGGTGATGCTGGGGGGGATCCTGGGGGGTCCCTGGGGGGTCGGGGGGATCTTGGGGAGGATGTTTGAGGGGGGACCCTGTGGGGCTGGGGGGGTGGGGCTGGGGGGTCGGGGGGATCTTGGGGAGGATGTTTGAGGGGGACCCTGTGGGGCTGGGGGGTGATGCTGGGGGGGGAAATCCTGGGGTACGAAGCCGCACCGGGTGGAGGCTCCGCAGCCTCCCAAATCCCCGAGCCCCCCCCCCCCCGCAAACAAGCCATTTAAATCCCACCAATGGGGAGGCGGCGGGAGGGGAGCTCGGCACGCCATTGGTCAGCCCGGAGGGGGCGGGGCCTGTTTTTTTCCCACCCCCGCTCATTGATGAGAAAAGCGCCCGGCGCTGTTCCGCCCACTGCGCCCCCCCCCCCCTCCCAGCCCAGCCCCGGTACCCGCTATGGGGGTGGCCCCCCCCCCCCACCCCCCCCAGGCCTAGGGGATTTTGGGGGGGGGTTGGGGAGTAGAGTTCGGCCACGGGATGGGGAGCGGAGGGGGCACCGCGTGGGGGTCCTCTGTTGTCCATGGGGAGGGGGTGCCCCCCCCCTTACCCCCCCCCAGCACCCTGGGGTGCAAAGAGGCGGTGGGAGAATTTGGGGGGGCTGCTCCTGAATGCTTGTCCCCAGTTACCCCACTGGGGACCCCCGCTCCCGGCACTGGGGCTCCTGTAGGGCTCGGCTTTGTCCCTGCTGTGCCCCCCCCCCCCCCCAGCACTGGGGGGGCTCCCAGGGGGCCTGGCTCCATCCCTGTGGGTCCCCCAGGTTCCTTCTCCCAAATCAGGTGTGTGCCACCCCGCCCTACCCCTCCCTCTGCCCCCCTTCTTCCCTCTTGGTGTCCCCCCCCATCCATCCGTGTGCACCCCTCATCCCTGGGGCTGCCAGGAGCGGGGTTGGGGGGCTCCCAGGTGCTCCCCCCCAGTTTAGGTCTGGCACCCCAACACCACAACCCATGGCTGGGATGCCCTGGCTGCGATGGGCACGGCCAGACCCAGGCATCTCGGGGTCCGTGCTGGAGGTGGGTGACAGACCCAGCTTTCACGGGGGGGGGACACGTTCGAGGTTGGGGGGAGATGTTCGTCCACACGTCCTCACCCCAAAACGCCCAGGCCTGGCACTAAGGGGTGGGAGCAGGAGCACGGCCCCAATGGGACGGTGCCCATGCGGGGTCACCTCTCCTCGGGGGAATCCTAAATTTATTAGGGTCAGCAAAGAGCTCCAAGCTCATCCGGCCCAGCCGTCCCCCTACCCACTAAATAAGACCCCAATAAATAACATCACCCACTGCCCCATGTCCCCAATGAGCACCACGTCCAACCTCTCCTTAACCCCCCACCCCAAGGGACGGCGATGCCACCACCTCCCTGGGCAACCCGTCCCAATGTCCTGAGAAGGAATTTCCCCAAATTCCCAACCTGAACCTCCCCTGGGTTCATCCCACCCTAAAAGGGGGGACACTTGGGGACACGCACACCCCCTCCCCAAGCTCCTGCACCCCAAATCCAGGAGGGGCTCCGGAGGGGCACAGAGCCCCCAGCTGGGGATGGGGGGGGGGTTTGGGGGCAACGCCAGGACCCCCCCCTCGCTGTCCCCATCACCACAGCAAGCGGTGCCTGGGGGGGGGGACACAATGGGGCGGACAATGGGGTCCCCAAGCCCGGGGAGCGCGGATGGGAGACAATGGGAAGGGGGGGGGGGGGGGGCCGGGAACAGAGGCCGGGGGGGGTCGGGGGGGGGCCAGGGAGCGGCGGGGCCTTGGGGGCCGCTCCGTTGGGAGCCGGGGCTTCCTCCGCCTCCTCCTCCTCCTCCTCCTCCTCCTCCTCCTCCTCTTCCTCCGCCTCCTCCTCCTCCTCCTCGGCCGCCGCCGCCGCAGCAGCCCCGGGATTTTCGTGGCGCTGGGCGCGGGCGGGGGGGGCGCGCACAAAGGTGCACAAATGGTGAGTGGGGGGGGGATTTGGGGGGGGGGGGGTCCCGGGCTGGAGGGGGGGGGGGGGGGGTAAACGGGGCGGGGGGAGCTTCCTTAGGGCCGGGCCTGCCCGAGGGCCTGGGAAGCCGGGGACTTTCCTGGGGCCGCGGCCGGGCTTGGGAAGGCGCCGCTGGGCGAGTGGGGGGCGAGCGGGGGGCGAGTGGGGGGCAAGGGGTGGGCGGCTGCTGGGAGCCCCCGGGGGGGGCGTGGGCAGCGGCAGCCCCCCAGCTCCCAGCTGGCTTCGCCCCGGAGCCCCCCACCCAGCTGCGTGCCCCCAATGCCCCCCCCCAGCTCCCCAGCACCGAGGGGCTGCATGGGGGGGCTCGGAGCCCCTCGGTGGGCAGCGAACGCAGCCGGCACCCCCGCACCCCCCCCCCCCTCCCTTGAGACCCCTGCGTGGGGTGCAGGAGGGTGCCCGGGTGGTGGGCGAGGGGTCTGCAGCTCGCTCTGTCCCCTCCCCACCCTGCGGTGCTTGGGTGCGTGGCTGGGGGTGGGTGGGTGGGGGGGGGGGGCAGCAAGGTGCTGAGCTGCTCCCCCCCCACACACACACACACCCCCCCTCCAGCCACGCTCACCTGCTCCCGGCGGAGCCCCGGCCGGATCCTGAGCCGGTTTATCTTGGTCCTGGTCCTGGCGCAGCGCCCTGAGCCGCCTGGGAGTTCCCTGCGATCGGCGAGCGCAGACACCGGCCCTGCTGCCCCGGCTGGGGCGAGAGGCTTCGTTTCCCTTGGGAGAGGGAGTAGAGCCTGTTCCCCCCCCCCCTCCAACCACCACCCGCCACCAAAGCCCGCGGGCCGCGGTGTAATAAGTGAGGCGGAGGTTTAAAAAAAAAAAAAAAAAAAAGGAGAGGAGAATTAAATATTATCTGCACGGAGCCTCTGGGGACGGCTCTTGCTTAATCACAGCAATTCGGGATCGTGCTGGGGCTGAGCTGGGCTCTGAGGCAGCCTGAGTCAGATGCGATCTCCGGGCTTCTCCTGGGGATTTGGGGCTGCCTTTGTGCTGGGGGCGAGCGCGGGACCCGAGCGGATGATTTAATTAGCAGATGACTCCGTCGGAGGCAGAGGTAGCTCCGAGCTTGGTTGGTAAACCCAGGGGTGCCCATCGCCACGGGTGGGTTTTTGGCCTTTCTGCTCTCCTCCGCAGCGAGGCAGAGGCACAGATCCAGCCATCGGCCCCACCATGGCTCTGCCCGACCTCTGAGTGCTTCCCAGAACGTCAGACGCAGGATTTGGGGTGAATTCGGTTCCTTGGAGAGCCCGGAGGGGGTCCCTTCCCGCAGCTTGGGGTGCTTTGTGCTGCTGGTCCCGGTTCTGCCATGGGTTCCTGGGGAATTTGGCCACCTCGGCGCAGCCAGGAGAGGGGGAAAGTGGGGGTCTCTTGGTGGCAGTGGGGGACATTCAGCAGCCAGGGCTGCCCGTGCTGAGCCCCACACCATAATGTGGGGGGATGGAGCCTCCTGCTCGCCCCCAGGGACCCCATCCCATGGGGCAGAGGGTGCGAGGAGCTAACGGGGCGGCACAGCCCCACAGACGGGCGCAGCTGGCTGCCATCCCCACTGCTCCTTTAACAGCACTCATCGTTCCTACAGGGACTTGGGGTCTTGGGGGCAGCTGCAGGGTCCCGTTATCAGCCCAGCGGGGCTCCCAGGAACTTTCCTGGGATTTGGTGTGCTCCAGGAATGCTTCCCCATGGCTGGCAGCGTGCACCGAGGTTTGGATGCTGAGCAGGGACCCGGTGCTGGCCGTGCCGGAGGAAAGCTGCTCCATCCCGGGGCATTCCCTGCTGGAAAGGGTGACCCGGAGAAGGGGGGCTTCTGGCACGGTTTGCCTGGTGTTTGTCGGCTCTTCCAGGCTGGTTTCAGCCATTTGACTGATCAAACGTTTCTTGTTTGGATCAGATCGCAGACAATGGGGCCGGAGGGGACACGGGGGAAGGCAGGGAGCCCATCTCGCCGGCTTCAGGCACGGCTGAAGCAGCCCCAGGTCTTTGGGCTGAGCTGATTTGAGATTTCAGGGCTGCTTCCCGAGGGCCGGCGTGCCTGGCAGATGCTTTATGGCTTTATTGTCCGGCCGGGATGCTGGGCAGGGGGCCTGGGAGAAGCGTGCGGCGAGGGCACCGCCGTCCTTGCCTGGCTGCCCCCGGGGTCAGAGCCGCGGTGTCGTGGCTCACCAGCGGGCACGGGGTGACGGCACGGTGCCAGAGTCCCCACAGGGCCAGCTGCCAACGTCCCTGGCCCCGGACAGACCCCGTCTCTGCTCTGTTTCTCGGGGCTCCGAGATGCGGATCACACCGTCTGCCCGCCGCAGCCTTGCAGGATTTAGCGCCAGGCACTCGAGCGGATTAAGCGGAGCTGGGAAACATCCACCAGTGGGGTTGTTTACCCCGCCAGCGTCACTTTGGGTCGGGGCTGGTCCTTTAGGACATCGCTGGGGGACAGGGCTTCCCGTGAGGCTGCCGGAGAGGCCACTAAGGTAAAAGTGCCATCCCGAACCATGCGTGCTGTGGGAGAGCCCTCACCCTATCCGTGCACCCTGCAGCCCCGCTCGGCCCCCGTGCCCACCAGCGAAGCAGCCCAGGACCACGGTGTTCGGGTTCTCCGGCGCACCAAGACCTTGGGGTGGCCACAGGGTTGTCACCCCATGCCTGTGACCCCGCAGGAGGCACCGCCGAGGGAGATGCTTCGAGGCCGTGGGTGCAGGGCTGAGCCCCCCGCGTGGGGATCTGAGCCCGGGAGGGCAGAGCAGGAGCAGGTGAGGGGCCGTGGGGTGCGCAGGGCGCCGCAGTTAGGCTCCCTTGGTGCTGCGGCGTTTTGCAATGCAAATGGCTTTCTCTTTGCAGCCAGCCCTTCTCATGCAAATCCCCTGGGTTTGGTACATTTTCTCCCTCCGGTTCCAGACCTGCCGCAGCCATTTATTTTTTACCTGTGCATCCCGGCACGGCCACCACCGCCTTCGCCCCATAAAGCAGACCCCGTGCCCGGGAGAGGCTGGGCTTTGTCCCGGAGCTGCGCAGTGGGAATCCCCCGAGCGCTCGGAGGGACTGGACGTTCCTGTGGATATTGTAACAATCCCGCGTGAGCGTAATTAAAGCTGACAGTTGGGAAGGGATATTAAACGTTCTGCATCCAAGCTGACGCTGAGCAATTTGAGATCAGAATGGGACCCCATGGGGGAACGGGATTAAGCTGCTCGGGCTTCCCATGGGCCTTTTGCGCGTCCCTCTGAAGCGCCTGCTTGTGCCGACGGACCGGGGACCTCTTCCAGCGTGGAAGTTTTGCAGATTCCTCCTTGGGAGCGTGGTGGTGGCATCTCCAGAGCCTCGTGGGGCCGGGACTGGACCAGCTTCCCTGAAACATCTCCAAAGCACGTGAGGAGGGCTGGGGCTGCTCCTGCAAGCCCATCTCTGGGGACTTCAGCATCTGACGGAGCCGAGCAGCCCCTGGCTTCTTCCCCAGCACGAGGCTCCCCAGAGGCAGCAGGAGAGACGCGGCGTGGACGCAGCTCAGCGAGGAGGTGCCAGGCTGGATGTGGCCCAGAGGGCTCGGGGAGAAGAGGGTTTGTGTTTGCGCTTCTGGAGGGAGCGTGCAGATGGAGGGAGCCGGGCGAATTCCCCCCAGCCCCTCGGCAGGCTTGGCTAAACGTGGCTGTGCCGTAGCAGGGGGGATGCTTCGCCGACCGGTCCCCCAGCTCCTGCCTGGGGAAAGCTGGAGCCCGTCTGCCCTCTCCACGCAGAGGACTTCAGGCAGCACCCACAAAGCTTCCTGCACCTTGCGCATCACCCGCGGACACCCAGCGCCATGGTGCCAGGAGCCTTCTCCAGGACTCAACCACGTCCCCTCCCTGTCCCCATCACCTCTGGCTTCCCCGATGGCCTTGGGGCTCCACCGGGATGGTGGCAGCTGGCCCAGCAGGGGACCGAGGCGGTGGCTGGCTGGGGATGGTGCCCATTGTGCAGAGCCAGCAAGGCGTGGTTGTGCAGCCAAGCGAGCAGACGTGCGGGGCGCTGGGCTTGGCAGACCCCAGCACCAGGACCAGGAGCTGCCTCTGGTCCCAGGCTGTGGCAGAGCTGGGGCTGGTTTTGGAGGTGTGACGGGGCTGGACAGGCTGTGCCCTGCTGGTTCCTCCACGGAGGGATGCTCGCTGCGCTGCTCCCTGCACCAAGCTCCTTGGTGTCAGCTCCAACAGCCCAAAAGTCACAGTGTGCAGCAGAGCTGAGGCTCACGTGAGGTTTTCTGCCTGTCCTTAAGTGTTTACAGACACCAGCTTGCGGCGTGCCTCAGTTTCCCCAGCTCTGTGGCAGGCAGAGGTGTGCTGCCAGCCCTCGGGGCCCCTTGAGAGCACGAACAGCGTTGGAGCCATGCACCAGGATCCAGGACCCCGGTGTCCTCCCCACGGTGCCCAGCACAAGGCCACCCACCGCCCGACTCAGTTCCCCTTCTTCTGGGAGGAAGATGCTCTCCTCAACGTGCCGGTATTCCCTGCCGCTATTCCTGCTCGGCTTCGCCGGTGGGAAGCCAGCTCGGGTCGGCGTGCAGAGGGTTGCATCCACACCCCTTTTGGAACCACATGAGAGCATCATCGTCTCGCGCCGCTATCTCGGTGATCGATCTGGATTCGCAGATGCTTTGCACCAGTGGTGGAAAGAGCACGGTGCAGTGGTGTAAAGGCACGACCCGTGGTGTAAAGGCACGGCCGTACGGGCATTTAGCAACCAGGCAGAGCAGTTCAGGAGCTGGCCGGGCTGCTCCCGGTGACCCCATGGGGTTTGGGTTCTGGGTCTCGGTGGGTGCCCTCCAACCTGCCCCAGGGCAAAGCAGCCCCGGGCTGGTTCAAATCCTCCTTGGCAGGGATGAGGGGAGTGGAGCTGCCAGGCTGTGTCCCTCGGGAAGAGCTGCCTGCTGCCAGCAAATGTCCTCTCTTGGCTCTTGGAAGCTCGTGGTCTCGGGGATGGAGTGGATGAGGCAAAGGTCAGTGCCCCGGCGCATGGTTTTGACTGGGAAGAGGAGTGGGTTTGCCTCTCTGGAGCTGTTTAAAGCGAGAAAGGTTTCTCGTGGAGGAGCTCTTGGGTCTTTTTGGGGGAAATTTGGAGGCAAGCAATAGTTGAGGTTGGAGATTTGTGGACTCAAAGGCAGGGGAGATGGCGGCAGCTTCTTTCTGACCGCCCGCAGGACGTGCGCCCCGCAGCCCCAGCCGAGCTCTCTCTGCTTTGAAGCCCGAGCTGTGCTTCAGCAGCATCCCGAGAAGCCATCCAGTCTGGACTTGAAGATGTCAAGAGATGGCAAATCCTCTCCTCCCCTGGGGAGTTTGTTCTAATGGTTAATCACCTCGCTATTAAAAATGTGAGTTTTCCTCCTCATTTGCCTGTGTCTGGCTTTTGCTCCCAGCCCTCGGCGGTTGCTCTGCTGGCTCGCAGAGGCTGGGTAAGGCGAAGCCGCTTCTCCTCCCGCAGACAAGGCAACCATTTCCAGCTCCACCTGAGCCCCCGTGCTGCCGAACCGGCTCCTCGCTCTGCCAGGCAAACTCTTCTTTTTGAACACCACCAACAATAAAAAAAAAAAAAAAAAAAAATCCCTTTCTTCCCCGCCGGAGCGGCCAAGCCCCTCGCTCCTCCAGCTGCCGTGAGAAACGCCGCGCTGCTTTGTACTTGGATCCGGGCACCACGGCAGCTGCCTCCGCCTTCTCCAGGGACATCGCGAGGCACCAGGGAAAGCTGGAAGAGCCCCCGGGGTGCTCGGGCTGCCCGGGGGCCGTGGAGGTGCTGGGGGTGCCGGGCTTGGTGCTGCGCCCCTGGGGAAGCCGCTGCTTGGGGCAGGAGGAAGAGGAGCTCCGCCACGAGCCCGTAGCCTCTGCTTGTGATCGAAGGGCCTGGGCCATTCCCGTGGCTCATTGCCCGCTCCCGTTAGAAATGCCTGCGTGGTTTTTGTCCTGGTTCGTTGAGGGGTGGTCCTGTGAGGGGTTTTTGGGCATTGCTGAACCCGCAGGGCCGTTGGAGGGCTGCGGTCCCTCAGGTCGCGGGGATGCGCCGAAATCCCCTCCTGATTTTGGCTGAGTTTTGAGAGTCTGGGTCTCGATGGGGCCAGGACCCCGAGGGGATGCTGGAGGGGGCTGTGTCCCTTCTGTAGGGTCACGGTGAGGGGCAGCAGGGAGGTGGCACCCAGCTGCGTGACACCGGAGAGCGGGGCTGGGGGCACGACAGGGGCGCAGAGGGCAAGGGTGCCGCGCCGTTCCCTCTGCTGGGGCGTTCTGCAGCGCGATGCCACCAGAGCTGCCTGATGCCACCACGGCTCTGCGGGGGCTCTCGGAACCGGGGACACCCTCGGTGAGCCCCGTCCCTCGCTGGTGGCTGGGCAGTGACACGGGGACAAGGACATCAACTCGTGGTGGACACGTGCTGGGGCGCAGGACGCTCGCGGTCCTCTTCGCCGTGACAATCCGGGGGGCGATGCGTCCCCAGGGGAGGGGACACCGCTCCTCCCGGCCGCTGCTGGGGACAAGAGATGCTTCTCTGCTCATCCCCTTCCCTTTTTTTTCCCCCCCAGCTCGGAGCCTCGGCGCGGACGCCCGACCCGTGAGCGGCCCCCATGCCGCGGCGGCCGCCAGCTGGATGCCGTCCCCGCCGCCCGCTGAGGATGCCCCGAGCGCCCCGGTGAGCGCACGCACGGGGGACAGCGCCCGGCTCCAGCCCCAGCGCCCCTCCGGTGAGTCCCCGAGCTGTCCCCTGAGATCCTTGGGGACCCAGCTGTCCCCTCCTCGAGCCCCTCCGTGGCACTAATGAATAGGGTCGGGGGAACAGCCCAGCCGTGGCCCCCCTGCGCCGAGCCGCCGGCCCTCGCATTGTTCCTGCCAGAAACCCGATGCCGGCCTCCCAACAAAGCCCAGAAGAAGGGGAAGGGGGGGGGGGGCTGGCAGGGGGGCCGGGGGGGTCCCTTTCTCCCTGCCCCTTCCCCCATCGCTCGCTGGGGACGCCGGGACGAGCTCCCGGCCCCGTTGCCATCTCCTAGACAACCGGCGTGGGGGGGCTTTTGTCTCCATAGTGATAAATGTGCGAGCATCCAGCATCTGGGACAAAAGGGTGTCCCCCCTCCCTCTGTCCGTGTGTGTCCCCCCCCCCAGCCTTGCTTCTTTTTCCCCTCCTCGACCCCCCCCTCCCCGAGGCCTCGGAAAAGAGGCCAGAAAACATTTGGGTTTTCTTTGGGCGAAATGGCATCGCCCTGGGAACGCGCCCACCCCGCGCACAGCCGGCTCGGCCCCCACCGCCGGCACCCCCCCCCCGGCACGCAGAGGGGTGGCCGGGTGCTCACTCAGGGTGCTGGGGATCCCTTACACCCCCCCCAACCCCACCCTCCAGACATCATCTGGGTGCTGACAGGGGGCTGTGAGCCCCTCAGTGGGGTTTGGGATGGCCCCGCAGAGGTGTCACCCATCGGGGGGACACCGTGGTGGCCACCATCTCGGTCCAGGTCCCTTCCTGGTGGGAGTGCTCCAGGGGGGCTGCGAGCAGCTCCCGTGCTGCTGATGGGCTGAGGGTATAACGCAGCCATAAATCCCACATCGTTCTCCCAATCCAGCAGAGACACGGCCCTATAAGCAAGCGGAGGTGGGCGTAAGGCGCGCGTCCGGGCGGATTTACGCAGCAGCGGCGCGCAGGGAGACGTTGGGCGCTGCTGCACTGGGCTGGGGGCTCATCCTGGGGCTCCTGACCCCATCCTCGAAGCTGCCCCCCCAGCCTTGGAGCCCCCCCCAGCCCTGCTGTGCCCACTGGGGGCTGCAGGGCCCGCATTGATCCGGGTGTGAGATGCCGAATCCGTGCCGGGAGACTTGTTCGGGCAGAGCCCCAGACTGCGAGCCGGGCCTGCAAGGTTGCCTGCGCCAAGTTATTCATTCTTTTTTTTTGTTTTGTTGTTGTTTTTGGGTTTTAAGTTTGGCCCCCACCCCAGGCACTCTCCTGGCAATTAAAATAACGATGGTGATGTTCATTAAAAGGGTAAATCACCCGAAACAGCGCAGTTAGAAGCTGAGCGCTAATAAAGGGAAAGGTGGTGGCCCTGCACCCAGCTGGGGTTTAAAATAGAAAATGTCCCAAAATGACCCAAATTCCTTCATCCTTTCCCCTCTGAAGTCCTGTCCCCGCTTTAAACCTGGATCCACAGGGACGGGGCGGGCAGTGGTGACGTCCTGGTGGTGGCAGTGGGGGCATCCTGGGGTCCCCGGGCACGGTTCCGGGGGCCGCGGCGGTGCCACCGACCCTTCCCCGTCCCCTCCGCAGGTGGGCGCACCGATTTCTCCTGAGCCGAGCCCAGCCCAGTGTTCAAAATAGAGTCCCTCAAGGTGACGGTCGACTTCCTGAAGGTGCCCCTCGGCCTGAAGAAGCCCCCTTTGAAGGAGGCCTTGGCGGCCATCCCGGGGCCGGGGAGACCCAAGCCCCTCGGCGTGGAGCGGCACAAGCCCCGGCGCGCCGACACCATGGACAATGAGTCGCAGTACTCGGGCTACTCCTACAAATCCGGGCACTCCCGCAGCTCCCGCAAGCACAGGTGAGAGGGGCTGGCGTGTCCCCGGGGGTCCCCTGTCCCCAGCGTGGGCGCGCACCCACCCTGCTCCCCTCTCTGCCCCTCTCCAGGGACCGGCGGGACCGGCACCGCTCCAAGAGCCGGGACGGGAGCCGCGGGGACAAGTCGGTGACCATCCAAGCGCCGGGCGAGCCCTTGCTGGACAACGAGTCGACACGGGGGGACGAGAGGGTGAGGATGGGCAGGGGGCTGCCGTGGGGCCTGCCGGGCTTTACATCGCCTCCATCCCTGCTCTGGAAAGGGGCAGGAGCTGGCCCTGCACTTAGAGCAGCCCCAAATCAGAGCCAACCTCGGTGGCGCGGATCCAGCCCACATCGGGGCTGGGAATTGGGGAAGGGGACGACTCCAAGAGCCCCGGAGGGTGCTGCCGAGGGTGGGAGCTGCGGGGGGGTCCCGGCGTGCCTTGCCCGCCCCCGGGGAGCAGTGGAGCCGGTTGGGCTGGCCCTGGGCAGGCTGACAGCACCTCCGGGCGCTGCCTCCGTGTGCCCGCGGCGAGGGCGGGGGGGCCAGACAAAAGGGGATGGGGAAGGGGACGGGGCTGTCGTGGTGTGGGCATGCAGCTGGGGTGGGCGTGGGGTGCCCGCAGCTCCCTGCCCGCTGCCCAGGGTGGAAACCGCCTTTGGGATCGGCTCCCTCGGGATCTGCTCCCTCCGGATCCGCTCCTGCTCCTTGCTCAGCGCCTGCGGGGCGACGCCAGCTCGGCCCTGCCAAGGTTTAATAACCCCAGCCCCGTCCCTGGGAGGATCAAACGGATGAGCGGGTTTGTGCAGCCGGTCGAGCTCCTCTGCTGCCGGTGCGGGACCTGCAGCCCCCGGGAGGGTTCCTGGAGACCAAATTTCAGCAAAATCCCCCTCTGGGATGAGAGATGCTCTGGACAGGGCACTGCAGCGACGACGGGGACCGGGCTGGGCGCCAGCTCCTCCAGCCACCGCAGAGCACAGACCCTGGCTTTAATCATCTCCCAGCCACCTACACGGGCACCTCCAGCTCTTTCATCTTCCCCCAGTACGGAGCCGGTGCCGCCGGTGCTGCCTGAGCCGCTCGAGGCCGCCCGCACGCTCCTGCAGTGTCCAAGCAAAGCACTTGAAAGACAGCCTGGAAATACGGACCGGTCCTGCGGGGGCGGCCAGCACCTCTCCGCTCCCCCTGCCTCCAGCAAGCCCCCGGCCCCGGGGTTTATTTCTCTGCTCTGGTTTGGGATGAAGTCGCCAGCCTGCAGAAATTCTGGGAGGAAAAATCCCAGCTTCGTCACATAGAAGGAAACCCCCGGCTTCAGGAACGCCGAGGTGCTGCGGAGCAGGACACGAGGACGGACGGACGGACGGACGGACAGGCCCTGGGTGCGGAGGGGCTCCGCCGCCTCCCTTTGCTGAAACCACGTTTTAACTGGGAAGGGATCAAAAAGGGACGTCTCACTTCCACACCTGCGTGGCTTTGGTGAAAAAAAGAAACAAACGGGGCCAGGTTGGCCACACTCTGGGATTGTGTCTGCTCCCGGTCCTGTTTTTGTATGGGATGGGCTGCGCTGGCTGCTGGGGAGCTGCTGGGGTCTGGCGCCTGCCTGGGATTGTGCTGGTGAAGCTGGAGGTTGCATGGAGAGGTTTTGCAAGCAGGGAATACGTCTGAAAACAGAAAACAAACAAAAAACAGCAAAAAAAAGCCAAAAAAAAAACCAAAAACAAAGCAGACTAAGCTTTAAGAAACTGCCCCGTCCCCCTGGCAGAGATGCGTACCCAAAAAGGGGCTGCTGGCGAGCCGGCACGCGGCCACGAGCCCCGATCGCCGTCGATCTCGCCCTGCCCCGGCGCTGGAGCAGGCAGCGGCAGCCGGCGCGGAGGAGGCGGCAGCGAGGGTGTGTTGGGACGGCGGCCGGGCATGTTGGCTCTGGCCCCGCTAATGAGGGGATTTGCCTGGAAACAGGATGCCTTCCACTTGCAAAGCCGCTCTCGCCCGCGTCGTGCGCGGCGGGGCGGAGAGGTGGAGCGCGGCGCAGAGCCTCCGACGGGGATTTCCTGGAGGGTCCCGGCCGATTCGCCGTCCCCCCCCCAACCAACCCCCGGCTGCTAAATGGGGGTGATGGCACCGGTCAGCACGCCGGGCTTGGAGGTTTGGGGGCTGGAGGGGGATACCGGGTTGGGTTGGGATCTCGGGGTGGCAGGGCCCTCCTCCACGTGACCCTCTCCCCTTCCCCAGGATGACAACTGGGGCGAGACCACCACGGTGGTGACGGGGACGTCGGAGCACAGCATCTCGCACGATGACATTACGCGCATCACCAAGGACATGGAGGACAGCGCCCACCTGGACTGCTCCCGGCACCTGGGCGTCGCGCTGGCCGGGGCGCTGGCGCTGCTCGCCTTCCTCACGCCCCTCGCCTTCATGCTCCTGCCCCAGCTGCTGTGGCGGGAGGAGCTGGAGCCCTGCGGGACGCCCTGCGAGGGGCTCTTCATCTCGGTGGCCTTCAAACTCCTCATCCTCCTGCTGGGCAGCTGGGCGCTCTTTTTCCGCCGCCCCAAGGCTTTCTTCCCGCGCGTCTTCGTCTTCCGAGCGTTGCTCATGGTGCTCGTCTTCCTCCTCGTCGTCTCCTACTGGCTCTTCTACGGCGTGCGCATCCTGGACTCGCGGGACCGCAACTACCAGGGCATCGTGCAGTACGCCGTCTCCTTGGTGGACGCGCTGCTCTTCGTGCACTACCTGGCCGTGGTGCTGCTGGAGCTGCGCCAGCTCCAGCCCCAGTTCACGCTCAAGGCCGTGCGCTCCACCGACGGGGCCAGCCGCTTCTACAACGTCGGGCACCTCAGGTAAAAGAGGGGCGAGAGGGACAGGGATGGGCTGGGGGGGACTCCTGCGGGTCTGGGTGAGCTCCAGTGTCGGTGCGGGCTCCGGTGCTTGCAGGACCGCGGTGCAGTCGTGGTGCTTGTGCGTTCCCGTGTGTGTTTTGTGTGTTTGCACACGTGTGTGTCTGCATGCGGGTGTTTATGTGCACACACACACATTTTTGTGTTTCCATGTGTGCATCTGCATTCGTGCGTGTGTATTCGTGCTTGTGCATTTGCACCCGGGTGTGCACACGCTGCGTCCCGGCACCGGAGGAGCCGTGCGTGTGCCCGCAGCGAGACCCCCGTGCTCCCCCTCCCCGTCCTGTCCCAGCCGTGTGCGTGCCCCCGATGGATGCTAACCTGCTTTTTGTGCCCCCGTGCCCCTGCAGCATCCAGCGAGCGGCCGTCTGGATCCTGGAGAACTATTACCACGATTTCCCAGTCTACAATCCTGCCCTCCTCAACCTGCCAAAATCCGTCCTGTCCAAGAAAATGTCCGGGTTTAAAGTCTATTCCCTTGGCGAGGGTGAGCTCCCCCCCGTTCCCTTGGCTTCTCCTCTCGTTCTCCCTCCTCCCATCCCGGTGTTTTCCCCTCCGAAGGCAGCTTCCCGGGCCGGGCTCCGGGCGCCGAGCCGGTCCCTCTGGATTTGCGTGCGTTTGTCCCGGCCGGCGCGGGCGAGTCGGGTGCCGGTTCCCAGCCCACACCAGTAACGCCCTGCTGCAAGCAGCAGCAAGTCGAGCGCGGCCGCGGGACGGGGCTGTGCCGGCAGCGCTGGGAGGTGTGAGGAGGAGGGGGGGGACGGGACACCCTGGGTGTCCTGCTCCCCCAGCTCTGAGCTTGCCCCTTTTCCTGCAGAAAACAGCACGAATAACTCCACGGGGCAGTCCCGGGCCGTCATCGCCGCGGCTGCCCGCAGGCGTGACAACAGCCATAACGAGTACTACTACGAGGAGGCAGAGCACGAGCGCAGGGTGCGGAAACGCCGCGCCAGGTACGGGGCCGTCAGCGGGGACAGGGCCCTGGGGACCCCCAGGAACCATCCCAGGACCCCCCTTGGGGTGCCAGGAGGGAGGGAGCAGCCCCGGGGCCACCTCCAAGAGCTGGAGCTGCTTTTGGAGCAGCACGTGGCAGGGTGCTGGGTGGTGTCCCCGCAAAATTGGTTTTGGGGTACAGGGTCACGGGGCAGGAACTGTGGGGCAGGGGGGTGGCGAGTGGCTCCCTTGACCCCCAGGGCTCCTGGGGACCTCAGAACCGACTGCCCCGCTGCACCCGTGGGCTGTGGTCTTCATGGAGACCCCAAGTGGCTGCGGCTGGAGGCACCGCGGGGTCCCTCGGGTCCAAGCTGTGCCCCATCGGGGCCGCCCAGAGCAGGGGGGCTCAGCACCACGTCCAGAAGCTTTCCAAGAGCTCCGAGGAGGAAGCACCAAAGGATTTTTCTCCCAGCAGGCTCGTGGTGGCGGTGGAAGAGGCCTTCACCCACATCAAGCGGCTGCAGGAGGAGGACCAGAAGAACCCGCGGGAGATCATGGACCCGCGGGAGGCAGCCCAGGCCATTTTCGCCTCCATGGCCCGGGCCATGCAGAAATACCTGCGCACCACCAAGCAGCAGCCCTACCACACCATGGAGAGCATCCTGCAGCACCTCGAGTTCTGCATCACCCACGACATGACGCCCAAGGTGTGCGGGGGCGCAACGGGACGGGACCCAGCCACCAAGGGGTCCCCCCACCCTTGGCTCGGGGAGGGTTTTGCCCACGGTGTGAGAGCACCCCCCGGCAGGACGAGGGGTGGGGGGGAGGCTTTTTGTGGCGCGGCGCAGCCGGAGAGGCGGGCGTGCCAGGCGGCGATGGATGGGGGCAGGTTCCCAGCTGCTGGACCTGCCGCGCGGGGATGCTTTTCCTGCAGGACCTGCCGAGCAGCTTGAAGCTGCAAAAAAAATATATATATATTAAAAAAAAATAAAAAAAAGCAGACGTTCACACGTCCGTTCCTTCCTGCAGGCGTTCCTGGAGCGGTACCTGAGCGCCGGGCCCACCATCCAGTACCACAAGGACCGCTGGCTGGCCAAGCAGTGGACGCTGGTCAGCGAGGAGCCGGTGACGAACGGCCTGAAGGACGGGGTGGTCTTCGTGCTGAAGCGCCAGGACTTCAGCCTGGTGGTGAGCACCAAGAAGATCCCGTTCTTCAAGCTCTCGGAGGAATTCGTGGACCCCAAGTCGCACAAGTTCGTCATGAGGCTGCAGTCGGAGACCTCCGTGTGAGCTGACGAGGGGTGGAGAGGGGCCGGGGGGGCCACCCCGCCTCGTCCTCCCCGCCTCTGCCGAGGCTCAGCGAGGCCGTGGCCGGAGGGCAGGACTGCGGCAGGCACCTGGAAGCAGTGCCCGCGCCTGGCCCCGCCACCAACCTGTGGCCACCGCTCGCCCTCCGGCTCGGGTCCCCGTCGGGCGAGCCGAGCCCCTTCCTCCTCATCCCCGCGCTCCCCGAAACCCAGGTCCTTGTAGCAATCCCCCAGGAGGCGCATCCAGCGCAGGACGGTGGCGCGGCCGGGAAGGCGACGGCGTCCCTCGGTGCCATAACTCAAGGGCTAACCCTCATCCGTTCAATTTCCTTCACCAGCGTCTTTGCAGCGCGGCCGGGTCTGGCGGACCCCCCCCCGCCCTCCCCGCGCTTTCCCGTTTTCTACCTGGCGACTGTCCTGCCTCTGGCCTTAAAGCACCGCCCGGCGTCCGGGGCTGGTTTTTAAAAAATCGAGACTTTTGGAGTATTTTGCAAACACCTCTGCGATCTGTGGCTGCTATGAACCCCTCCCCGGCCGCCGGGGAAGGACCCGAAGCGGCGACGCTGCCGCGGGCAGGTCCTCGCCTCCCCACCGTTTTCCACGCTCGCCTCTTAACAAAAGCAAGAGAAAGTTGGGGTTTTAAGGCAAAAAGCGGCTTTTCGGCGGCGGTGCGTGTGCCCCCGAGGAGATCAGCGTCCCTGCAACCCACCCTGCCAGCTCCGAGCACGGGGGGGCTTTGCACCGTTCCTGCAGCGTGGCAAGAGCCCAAATTGTGCTGGAAGTGGGGCAAAAATCATCCCAGCCTCGTCCGTGGCACCGGGCTGGCCGGTGAGGGCGAGGGGTTGCGGGATTTGGGGGGGCACAGCACCCTTTGGTTTGCTGCAGAACGGCCCTAAGCACCCCTCGGGCTCCGCTGCTGGCCCCGGGTGGCTTCTTTGCAAAGGGGTCTTGGGTCACCAAGGTCCAAAATCTGCGTCCTGCGGTGGAGATGGGGACGTGGTGGCCCCCGGGGGGGGCTGAGCGAGGGGACCCCGCAGCGCTCAGACCCACGGTGCCATCGCCGTGGGGCACCGAGCGCTTGCAGGGCCCCCGTGCCCACAGAAGCTTTTGCCTTCCCTTGGTTTTGTTAAGGTTGCAAATACCTCATGGTTTTGTTTTTTTTTTTCCTGTTGTTTTTATTTTATTTTATTTTTTTCATCTGGCTTTTGTGCTGGGGGAGGCTCACGGGGGGTGACCGCGGCACCCCGAGCCATTTGGGCTCGCTCGGCGGCGAGACCTGCCAAATTCCCTCGCTGTGACGCACCCCAGGGGGGCTGGGGGCTTCCCCAGTAAATACCAGTACCAGAGAGAGGCTCCCCAGTGGATTTCAAGGGCTCGCCCAGCACAAGCTTGTGGGGGGACGCAGCGGCGGTGGGGTGGGGGGCGCCGCCTTTCCGAATTCCTAGGAAATCTCCATTTTTCTGGAGTTTCTGTGTTTTTATGGCCCCGCCAGGTCCCCGCCGTGCCAGCGTCCGTCCCGCGCCAGCTTCCAGTCCCGTTTACACCAGCACCGCCGCGCCGGAGCCCCCCCGGGTGCCGGAGCCCCTCGGGGGGGGCTGGTGCCGCTGGGAGCCCGGTTTGGGGGTGTTTTACTGCAAAAAGACTTCAGTGAGTGAGAGTGGATGTTGTAGGCCTTGGGGGGGGGTGGGAGGGGGATTTTCCACTTGGAGTTTAAGAAGAATTCACCTTTTTTCGTTCTTTTTTTTTTTTTTTTTTTTTTTGTTTGTTTCCGCAGAGCCGAGCCCTTGTGCATGCGTGTAGAAAATTGTAAAATGTAAAATTGTTTTTTAATATATAAAAAGCTTGTTTTTACAGTTTGCAGTGGATCGAAGCATTATGGCAGTGTTAGGAAGTTGGTTTTTTGTCTTTTTTTTTTTTTTCATAGAGGATCTAATTTTTTTTTTTTTTAATAAAATAAACCCGTTGGACATTTTTTTTTTTTTTTTGGCTTTATCTTCCCCCCCATGACCCCCCCCGGCGCTTAGCAGCACCCACTCCAAACCCTGCTCGTTGTGGGGTCAGGGCCGGATCCGGATCCGTGCCCTGCAGCAGCAGGAGGCGACCTCCAGAGAGCGCTCGGGGAAACTGGTCCCTGCCCTAGGAGGGTGCTCGGGGCTCTTGGGGTGAAGGTTTGGGACTTGGGGGGCCGAGGTTTGGGGTTAACGGAGCCCAGGGTTTGGGGTTTCAGGGGTTTTATGGAGCCAAGGGTTTGGGGTTTTCTGGAGCCAAGGGTTTGAGGAAAGATTTGGGGGGTTATGGAACCCTTGTTTTGGGGTTTCTGGAGCCAAGGGTTTGGGTTTTATGGGGCTAAGGACAGGGGATTTATGGGACCAAAGATTTGGGGATTGTGGATAAAAGGATTTGGGGTTTACTTGGCCAGCAGTTTGGGGTTTATGGAGTCACAGGCTTAGGGTTTTGGGGTGACACAGGTTTGGGGTTCATAGAGCCACGTGCCTGGGGTTTATGGGGCCCAGGATTTGGAGCTAACGGGGACAGGGATTCGGGGTTTGCACAATGAAGGCCCTGGGGTACAACAGGAGAAACTCCCAAACCCTTCGGGGCGCAGCCCCCACCTCGCCCCCCTTACAGGATGCGCACCCTGAGCACAGAGGCAGCGGATGTGCCGGCACCTGCGCCCCCAAAACACCCCCCCTGGCCCCCCGCTGATTCACCAGCACCGGGCGTCAGCGTTTCCTTTGGCTTTAGCACCTTTTTTCCCCCACTATCAGCCTCCCCGAGCACCACCTGCCCACCTCCCTCCCTGCACCTTACGTGGGGCTGTGCGCTGGCACCGGGGGGAGCAGGAAAAGGAGACGCCAAGGCAGGGACCAGCTTAACCCAGGGACCCGGGGATGTCACGGTGTCACCGGCCGTGGGGACAGCATCCATCCAGCTGCACGCATCAGGACCTGCTCGCTTCCCTGCGATGGATTTTTTGGCTTCTTTGCCCTTCCCGGGCTGCCACCCCCAGGGTGCCCCCATGGTTATTTCCAGCCCTCGCCACCTTCCCTTTTCTCTCACCCCGCCTTTGCCCCGTGATGACTTCAAACGCTCAGCAAATGAGCTGCCGGCACGGTAGCTGCGTGGTTTCCCCCCCCCCTTCCCCTTTCCTGTGACTAATTAATCAGCCAAAAAAACCTCCTGCCCCCGCAGCCCCCGCTTTTTCCCTCCGCGTGGGCCCGCGGCCGCCTCCGCTCCTTCCTAGGGCCAGGAAAAACTGACAGCTCGGCTGCGTGGGGTGCAGAAAATCCAGGATTTCTGGGGTGAAACCCGGCTTTATTGGCTCGGCCGTGCCCCCCCCCACAAGCCCTGTCCTTGGGGGCCGTGAACGCTGCGCCCAGCCCCATCCCATGCAGGTCCCCATCCTGCCAGGTTTTGGCGACGTGCCGGAGCATCCCTTGGAGCGAGGTGGTGCACGATGCTCGCATCCCCCAGCATCCACGTGCCCCCCCGCCGGGTGTCTGGTCAGAATTTGTCCTCCTGGGGTGGCCTCGTGCTCCATCAGCTTGTCCAAAAGCCGCTGGCTCCCCCGGCCGGCCCTCAGTCGGCACCAGGCTCCCCGGAGCAGCAGGGATCGCCGGTGGCCGCAGGCACAGCGGGCTGCTGAGGTCAGGGAGAGGCAAAAGGAGGAGCTGAGGGGGCCACAAACCCTCCCTGGGGGTCCCAAACCCTCCCTGGGGGTCCAGGGCACATCAGGAGCATCCTAAAAGCCTCTCCACACAGCGCTTTGGGTGCACACCGTGCCCAGAATTGTGCCCTGGGCTGGCAGCTGCCAGGAGGGGGGGGAATACCTGGGAAGGCAGCGGCTGTCCTGGGGGGGGGTCCGGCTGGCAGAAGGTGGTCTCGGTCAGCTCCTGGGCGTGGGGGTTCTCTGCCCCTTTCCTGTCCTCCTGCAAGAGAGGAGCAGCAGCACAAGGAGGTGCCGAGCGTCCTCACCACGGCTGCGGCAGGTGGGGAAACTGAGGCACAGGCTGGGGGGGGAAGTGCTGGAGCAGCCCCCACGTGCCCGGCTCACCTGGGCAGCGGGGATGATGAGGGCGGTGTCGTGCTCTTGGACAAGCGCATCTGAAACGCAACACACGGGGCCGAGTCAAGGCACTAGGAGCGGGCAGAGGCTGCGCTAACGAGCGTTGCCCTAACGAGGAACCCGCTCGCGGCTCACCTGAGAAGTCGCTGATGGAGGTGGTTGGCTCCCGCGTCCCTGTGGAGCAGGGCAGACACACGCATGACATTAGAGAGGCTGAAAAGCCATTAATAAACAACAACAACAAACAGCGAGGTCCCGCTGGGATGAGGGGTGAGCAGATTTGGGTTTTCCTTGGCGAGGCCACGAGCTCGGGTTTGTGTCAAAACAGAGAGAGGCCGAAGCTTCGTGGCACAGGGGAGCCCAAAAGGTGCAAAACTGAACAGAAGAAGCCTCCTCCGGCACGAAGCCTCATCGAGCCATGCCAGCATGGGTGGCATTTTGCTGCTTTTCGTGGTGCTTTGAGGCTGGCAGGGTTTGCCACCACCCTTTGCTGCTGAACCCATCGCGGGGCTGCCCCAACCACGGGTGCCCCGGCGAGGAGCTCACCTTCACCCTTGGTCCTCCGGTAGGTGAAGAAGAGCACGAGCAGAGCAAGGAGCACAAAGATGACGGGGGACCAGTACTTGACGGGAACTCCCGACCCATTTCCTATGGGGAGAGACCAGAGATGGGGGCTTGCTGCCAGCAAAAGGGGGTCAGGGGCACTGGGGACCCTCCAGGGTGGTGGCATTTGGTGGCACATCCCCAAGCCACATCTCGTCCTTGCCCCATGGCACTCACGGGTTTGGTTCCCCAGGCTGCCTGCTTGCGTCGGCGCGGTGATGTTGGGGGGGTCCCTGGTCAAAGTGGGGGTCGGAGAGGCCACAGGCCACGTGTTCATCCCATCCACGTCCCTGGTGTCCGCTGTGGGGTCTCCCGTAGCCTCTGGGTTGTCATCGTGCTGGATGACGTTCTGGTCCCACAGCTCCTCTCCTTTGAGGGTGAGTGCTGGGCGCAAGGCTCGTTAATTCACGCTAGGGCTGAGCAGCCCCAGCAACACCAACCCCCCACATCCAAATATTTGGAACTCGAGGTCAGACATTGAAACCTCACACCAAGCAGCACGTGGCATCGGGGCTGCACGAGCCCCACCGGGATCCTGCACCACGGCAGGAGGCTGAGCAGCTCGCCAGCGGTGCCAGCGTGGTGGCTGTGCCATGGTGGCACAATGGGGCCACAGCTCGGGGACACCCAACTGGTGCCAGGGCCAGGCAAGGGGCCCTGGGTGCTGGGCGAGCTCGGGGTGCCCAAAGCCTCCCCCTGTGCGCAAGCCAAGCCATAAAGCAGGAGGCCAGAGCCGTGCTCCCCATAAAATATCAGGGCCAGCACCCTGCCCTGATGCAGCCATCGCGGCCTTGCACCCCCAGCCTTCACGCCGCCCCCTCTTCCTCTTCCTCTTCTTCTTTCTTCCCTCCCAGCCCTGCAGGTGGGGGCACCCCAAGGCCCCGTGTCGCGCCCCCCAGCCCCACTCACCAGCCCCAGCACCGAGCACGGCGACAGCAGAGCCACCTCCAGCCGGCTCCGCTCGCCTCCATCCCCTCTGCCCCTCCGAGCCCTCCACCGCGGCTCCTCGCAGCCGAATTTGCAATGCCTTCCTTCCCCTTTCTGCCCAGCCAACGGCTTCCTGTGAACACAAAGGTGCTGCCGACATAAAACGATGATTAATGGGCAGAAAGCATCCCGGGGGGCACCGCCGGGGCTGCGATGGGGTAAGGGACGGCGCCCCAGGCCATCACCAGCGTGGGCGAAGGAGGCGGCGATGCTCCAGCACTGCCCCGGCTCCCTTTGGGCCCCTTCCCGGTGTCACCAGTGCTGCTTCGAGCCCTGGATGTTGCCCTGATGGGCTGCCACAGGGGCAAATCCCTTGGCAAAGCGTGTGGCCCACTGAGGTTTTTTTATTTTTTAATGGATCGGCAGAAATTCAAGAAAACACAAAAACAAGTCTTATCTGGCTGCACCGTGAAAACGCGGAGAACAAAGTAACACCACGGGTTAGTCACTAATAAGACTGTTCCCCCCCCCCCCCCTCCAAAAAAGAAAAAAAATATGCAGACAGAAATTGAGCTCAGATGTGTCTCGCATTTTTATTCCAGCAGCTCCTAGAGGGCTCTCCTGTGCCAGGCACTTCAAAGAAATCTCCGGTTTCATCCCTGAATAATTTACTATCCGCACAGACAAGACAAAGAGCAGGGGGAAGCAGCACGCACAGGAAGAGGCTTCCACGGGTGCGGCGTCTGTCTGGAAAACTGACGGCAAGGTGCACGTCCTGCTCAGCACCAGCTCTGCTGGGGACGATGCAGACCTGGGCACCGCGTCCTCCCCGAGCATCCCGACCTCACCCGGTCCCTGTGGGGACGAGCCCGGGCTGTGCAGCCGCCACCACCCCGTGAAGCATCTCGGAGAGCTGCTCTGCTCGGCACAGCTCTGCCTGGAAGCTGCCTAATGCTGCAGCTCCAGCACCTCACACGCGAGCGCATCATGCAAGAATAAAACCTGGTGTATAAACACACCAAAGGAGGTGAGCACAGCAGCAGCAGCCACGCTTCTCGTTCCATTTTCCCCCAAGACCACCTCCTGCCTGCCAAAGACCTCAGACCACTTCCCACCTCGCAGAACCTCATGCAGGGCTGCAAACAGCTCGCTCGTAGCACTAAGAAAACCCCACGAGCAGTGAGGGAGCTGCGAGGTCTCCACCAGCTCCTCACAAGCACCAAAAGAGCAAGCACAAGTGCCGAAACCACAGTGCGCCCTTATCTTATCCCTTTACTGTGTTTTTAAAAGTGTTATTTTTACTTTCTCTTTGTCCCATAACCGAATAAGTCAAAGTATTTGCACAGTTAAAGAGTGTAGTAAAAAAACGTGGCTTTAGGACTCTTCTCAGGTCTTCCCATCCCCTCGCGCAGCCTCCTCGATGCCGCTCGCTGCAGGAGCCTCCCAGGAGCAAGGTCTCTGCGTGGCAGGGCTGGGTTGGCAGCCACAGTTTTGTTCCACGTTTCTCTGGCCAGAAAGTGCAGAAAGAGGATCCCGAGTCTCACCGGGATGCCAAAACACGGGCAGAGCTCCTGTGCCAGACGAGCGTCTCCGCCTGCACCGCATCCCCCAGGCGCTTACGTCCTCGTGCCGAGGCCGGGGTCACCGAGGCGGTGGTGCTGAGCCGGGAGGGGATGCCACAGCCCGGCGTGCTGGCACCATGAGCAGGGCAGGCTCACGGCTGTGCTGGGCTCTGTCTGCACCGTGGCACCCAGCTCGCTGACCGGTCAGTAGAGGCTGATCCGCTCCTAGCACCCCAGCGTGCTGCCGCCCAGCTCATCCACCTGCAGTCACAAACGGGCACAGATGTACCAAGCTCCCAGCAGCCGATGCCCCTGGTAACATCAGAGGAGGCCCTCGGGCTTGCTCAGAAGTGCTGGGCCCTGAGAAAAAGCAGTGACGACCCCTCTGTCCTTGCCCCAAACCCCTGCCCCCAGCACCAGGGCGTTGCGATGCGCTCAAGGGACGAGCTGCCCCTTCCTGCTGCCTCCCCGCCATGCTCAGGTCCCCCCAGGGTTTCACCTCCCCCCCCAGGGGGAGATGGCCACGAGCACCAACCCACCTGGGCCATGTTCTGGACGGTGGAATAAATGGTTTTGGAGGTCTCTACCTCAGGGGCCGGCGTCTTCTTTCGGTCATTTTGCTGTGCACGAGGGAAATCCTGCATTTGCAGAAAAAATTTTGTTTGCTTTTTTTTTTTTAATGTTTCCAGGGCACAGAAGTAATGGCTCGGGGAGCCACCTGAATTTGGTGGGGCTGGGGACCAAGGTGCTGGTGACACGTGGGGAAGCACAAGCAGGTGGCTGTGGCTTTGACAGCTTCCCTGGGCTGTCCCCTTCGCTGTCCCCAGGAGGAACCAGCAGACAGAAGCGGGGCCGTCCGGCTGCCGTCCTCCCCCCATATCCCCACCACGCGTCCCCTGCGCTGTCCCGTCCCACGCAGGGACCCCAAGGGGGTTGCCAGGGGTGAGCCCACAGGGACTCACCTGCTGGGCAATGCCGACCTCAGCGTACACCGTCATGTATTCTGCTGCCACCTCTGCAAGGAGAAAAAGGGGCAGGTCAGCACCGGAGCCGGCTGCGGCATCCCCGGTGCGCACCCAGCTCCTCGCCGAGGGCTGGGGGACATCCCGGCATCAAGCCTGCTGTGCGCTGGCAGCCAAAGACAGTCAAAGCAAGTAGCTAGTGAAAAAAAAAGCTTTTTTATTTAAATAGAAGATGTTTTCATGCTTTAGCCGCTCCGTGTTAAGCCGCAGCCATTGCAGCAAGAAGCGTTGTCAGTCTTTGTCAGGTCAGACAGAGGATGGGGGGATTTTTTAAGTCCTTCATAACCCTGGTTTGGGGTCAACATTTCAGTGCCTGTCATTTGAAACGGCCACGGGGACCTGGGCCTGCACAGAGAGGAATTTTTAGGGGAAGGTTTTGCTGTTCCTGGTGGGAGAGCTGGGTCCTGCTTCTGGAGAAAGCCTCGGTCCTGCTGCTGGGTGCGCCTGCACACCCAGCCCGGGCGCACAGAAACACGAAACAAAGGGCAGGAACTGCCCCGTTCACGCCAGCTTTAGCTCAGCTTAGCGAAACAACAAGATGAACACATAAAAAAGGCGAGGGAAAGCTCTTCTGGGAAGGCACGGGCACGTCCCACTGCCGATGCCGGGAGAGGAGACACCAGCAGGTGCTGCAGCCTCTCGCTGCACCCAGCCTCTCCGCTGCAATTGTGTCCTGAGTCCTGGGCACAGACCCGAAAGCGATGCCAAGCTCTTGGGGAAACCTTCAAGCTCTGCCCCCAAAGCCCCCCAGCCCCAAGGAATCCAGGCAGCAGCTCTTAGGGGCGGCGCAGGCAGGCAGGAGTCGCTCAGGCTGGGCACGGTGCTGCAGCGGGGCCGTTTCACTTCTCTGCACCCCCTCTGCTGCTGCCTTCAGATTGTCCCCAAAGTCCCTCTCGTGCTTTGGCGCTGTCCTCACGGCTCCGCTTTCTTTCCTTGGGGAGGGCACAAAGGTCTCCAGTGAGGGACTGGGGCACAGGACAGCTCCAGCGGCCACAGCATCACCTGGGGGGGGTGTTCGGGGCCGCCTGTCCCTGTCACCATGCGTGCAGGATGGGGGCACAGGGAGGTGCTGGGGGCTCGCCAGCCCCAGCCTCGAGCACTACCTGGGCTCAAGGGAGGATGGACGATGACCTCCAGCACATCTCATGGGGGTTAAAGCTTTGGGGGGGCTGTGAGAGCGGCTACGCTGCGGTGCCAAGCCCTGGGGGTGGCTGGATTCCCTCCTGATCTTGGTGACCTCACCAAGAAAATTGAGGAGGGAAGGAAACGCCTCGGGGGGGAAGGGGGGGGTGCCTGCAAATCCTACCTGTAGCGGGAGCTTCGGGCGTGGGGGGGTTGAAGATCTTCCTGCCTGGGGGAGAAATGACACCGGGCTCTGTCACCAGCAGCCCACGCGCGGGGCTGCGCTGCAGAGGCTGCGACCTGCAGGCAGAGCCTTACCTCGGAATATCAAGAAGGCCAAGAGGACAGCCAGGATTATCAGCGCTATGATCACCGTCACGGCTATGACGCCGGTAAAGCTTCTGCTGTCTGGAGAGAGAAGAGGGTCCAGCAATCACGGAGGAGTCGTTTGGGCACATCCTGAAGCTCATCGGCCTCTTCCCAGCGTCAGACCCGGGGGAAAGGAGCGCAGCTTTCCTCTGACCCCCCCTCAGCCCTCCCCTGCTCAGGCAGGAGCTCTTATTTCATGGGGACGTGGTGCAAGGCTGGCAGGAGGTGATGCATTGCACAGGGACAAGCGACTCTGCTCTTGCACCTCCCCGGCTCTGCCTCCCCATTGCATTAACAGTTCCCTGCTCCGATCCCAAGCTGGGACATTTGGGCACTGACCCTGACCTCCCCTTCCAAATTTCCTCAGGTAGCAGAGACAGTGCACGGATGCTGAGGATGCCCAGAAAGCCTGGATGTTCTCCCCACCCCCCCCAACAAGCTGCAGGAAGAGATGAACCGCTCCAGCCTCAGGCTCCCCGGCCTCCAGCGCAGGGTCGGGGCAGCCTGGTGCCAGCTCGGGCACCCTGTGACACTTGTGACACTTGGGGACAGGACGTGGACGGGGCAGCACGGCAGCTCACCGGTGGCAGCAGATTGGGTTGCGTTTTCTGGCAGCGCGGCGTGAGGAAGAGAACAGGGACAAGGGAGAGAGGTGAGCGCTTCGGCAAAGCCCCCCACCCCAGGGGGGGCCGCAATCCCTCTGCTTTCTGAGAGCCTGAGGGGCACCCGGCTGGGATCAGGATGCATCCCATCCCCGCCAGCATCCCCCGGCCCCCATCCCTGCATCCTTTGAGGGCTCTTCACCTGTGCAGACGGTGGCAGGGCGAGACGGTGACATTGCGGCTGCTGACGGGGTTTTGCACCGTGCAGGTGTAGGACAGCACATCCAGCTCTCCAGGACGCTGCTCCTCCTCCACCACCAGCTCGGGCTCCTCGGCATCCAGCTGCTCTCCATGGCTCCAAGAGAAGGATGTGATCTCGGGGGTGTGCACGGCGCAGCGCAGGACGTAGCGGCAGCCGTCGGCCGAGCAGTTCCACGACACGCAGGTCACCTCCGGCTCCTGCAGCACGCCTGTGGGAAACGGGGAGGGCTCTCAGCACATCTCCCACCCTTCACTCCTGGCACGAGGGCGAAACATGAAAAGACACTCACTGTGCACCCGCAGGGTGAAGTTGGCTCTATACACGGGATTTTTTGCTGTGTAGGTACCGGCATCTTTCTTCCCCAGCTGGGAGATGGTGAGCGAGCTGCCGTCGTCGGGGATGGTCACGCGTGACTTGTAGGAGTTGTCAAAAAATGAGGGTTTGAGAGACTCTCCCAGTGTGATGGTAAGCATGATCTCTCCATTGAAACTCCAGCCCAAATTTTCTCCTTTCAGGTCCTGAAGGTGAAACGTGACAGAACCGCCCTCGGCTCCATCCACTTCTAATGCACACACTGGGGAGAGAAACCAGGCTGAGCCCCGAGCACGAAACGCAGGGGGTTTGGGGGTGCCGTGCTCAAGGAGCAGGTTCAGTCCCACGTGTGGAGCCCCCCCCGACCTTAGGCCTTTGGGGTTCTTTGGGGTCCAGACCCTGATTTGCCCTCCAGCCAGCGCAGCACGTGTGGCACGAGGACGGCCGGTGCATCACCGTGGCTCTGGATGTCAGGGTGCTGAGAACCAGCCCCATCACGGGGCGGTCGTGGGAGCTGGGGGGGTCCCACGTGTTTCACTCCGGGATGAGGTCCCGCAGCAGGACCGGTGATTTCGGGTCCCGCAAGCGAGCGGCACGTGGTTGTGGCTGCTCTCAGCTGCGAGCCCCGCGCTGCTTCGCAGGTCCCAGGAGCATGCAAGGGACAAAGCTCCAAGGTGCAAAGCAAAAGCCACAAGGAGGAATCTGTGACGGTTCCAAAAAAAAATAAAAAATCAAGCAGGTTCCCTTTTCTCGCAAGACAGACAGCCGAGCTCGTCTAAATCAGCAAGAAAGCAGGTGGCTGCTTCTCTGATTTTGTGACTTCTTCCCTCTTCTGAGGAAGAAGACACGTTGCTGTTGTTTTGGATACTCCCCAGTCCAACTCTGTGCTGCCCCAGCTGGGCTGGGCTGGGAGGGGGGAGGTTTCCCCACCAGAGCCTGGAAAGGGTGGATCGTGGCCCCGAGACGCTGCTCTCTTCCCAAGGGTGCTCTTCTTCGAGGCCAAGCAAAGGCACCCCAACCCCCACTGCCCTGGGGACCCCTCCGGGGACGCGCTTCCCCCGCTGCAGGGAGGGGAAAAAGTTGGCAGAAGAGATAGTGCTCAGGAAGGAAATGCTGCAGGCTGGGCGCGCACACCCTGGGGGCCGCAGGGGCTCCTGTGGTATCCTTGCTGCTTTCCCCCTGCACCTGAGAGTTTCTCTTTTGGCCATAGCCACCTGCAGACCCTGCCCAGAAGTCTTGGATAGGAAGAAAGGAAGAGAAAAGCAGCATCTCCAGCTGACGTGGGAGCAAAGCCCGTCCTGCACCAGCGCCTGGATAAATCCTGAGCCACCCCACCAAGGCTTGGAGACAGCCGGCTGCGAGAGCCAGCTGGGAATTCACACCGTTTTCCCTTCCAGGCCCCCCTCGATATTACTTCTGTGCCCATGAGTTCACGAGACTCGTGGCGACCAACGTCCCAACATCTGCAGCAGCCTGTAAACAACCAGAGAAAGCTCCTCGGTCCAAAAACAGACCCGTAACGAAACCCTGGACACGCAGCAGGCTCAGAAACAGCACACGGGCAGCAGACCCCGCGGTCGCCACCGGCCACGGAGCAGAAGGGCAAAAGTGCACATCTGGGGCACATCTGGCAGCAGCTGGACGGAGGCCAGGCAGGGGCTGAGGTCCGGCACGTTCACCCGTTAGTGGGGACCACGCGAGGACGGGGACAAGGACCAGGTCTGGGATGTGCTGGGTGTGATTCGCCCACCCCTTGTGGGACAGCGGAGCCGAGCCCTGGTAATGGGGTCAAAAAACGAGCCCCGTCCCCACGTAGGGCACTTGCACCCACACACCAGCTCATCCCGGGCTCTCCGCTCTCGTGGGCATCCCCAAACTGCCTCCACCCGTGGGCTTCTTCCCTCCCTTCGTGGCACCCGGGGGAAGGAGCATCCGTCCCTTACCTGCTGGGCACAGGAAGCAGGCGAGGAGCAGGCACACAAACACCTCCATCGGAGCACGGCGCGCTCGCTGCCCTCAGCGCTCTCGTGTTTTTTTGTGGTGACTAAAGGAAGAAGGCGCTACGCCTTTCTCACTTCCTCCAATCAGTTCTTTTAAGACCCCTGGACTGATTCAGTGGGGACTGGAACTTTTGTAGATTTTTCCAGCCTCAAGCAGTGTCCCCAGGGTCATGGCTGTGCGGTTTGAGGGTGCCCAAGCTGCCTTCTGGGGCTCCGGATGCTCTCCCACATGAGGACAACTCTCCCCACCCTCTGCCCCCCCTGAATCCCTGTGACACTGAAGGCTGTGACAGCCCCGTGGCCACACGCTTATCTCTGACTCCTCGTGTTCCCTAAACACCCAGGGAGATGCCCTCCCGGGAAAGAAGACAGGAGAAGACATGAGGAGGGAGGGTTTGGGGGATTTCTCCATAACGGGACCTCGCAGGCACTTCCTGGCTTACCTGCTGGAGGTGGCCCTGCTTTAAGCCCCATTTGGTCAGTTTTGGGATGCCCATCCGTAACATCACCCCCGCTGTTCCTCAGAGGGGGCCCAGGGGGCCCCTGGTGGTCTTGGACCTTGGCCCCAGAAGGTTCGAAGATGCTGAAGCAGAACCCAGAGGCTGCTGTGTTTGTTGGCTGCTTGTGGCAGCTGCGCTCGGGCTGGCCCCAGGACCCCGATGGAGCTGACACCACCACTGCAGCCCCCAGAAGCCCCCCTGCCACCGCAGCCCCCTCCTGAAGGACTGCACCCTGCCAACTACCCCACCCTGGGGCAGTTCTGGAAGAAGCACAGCCCAGGGGAAGGAGCCAGGCAGCCGGGGCAGGATTTTACCCCATGGGATATTCCCCTACCCCCCGGGGCAGGGAGGAGCAAGGGGCAGCAGAGACATGGAAAGGCTGGGAGTGAACTGGGATGAAGAGGAGGGTGAGGGATTTTTTTTTTATTTAATTGTTCCTCACTATCCTACTCTGTTACCAAGTGGTAATAAATTAATTTTCCCCCAGTCGAGTCTGTTTTGCCCACGACAGTGACTGGTGAGTGCCCCCCTGTCCTTGTCTCAGCCCAGGATAATTTTCCAAGTATTTTCTGCCCCCGTTCTGTTGAGGAAAGGGTGTGAGAGAGCAGCTGGGTGGGCTCCCTGCAGCCAGCCAAGGGGATCCCACTGCCTGACACCACACAGCAGTGTCCAGCCCGTCACGAGGAGGAGTAAGGTGCAAGAAAATCCCACGGAATATGCACAATGGAAACCAAAACAGAGAAACACAATTTCCAGGCAGTGTGGCAGCGTGACAAAGTGCATGGTGGTGACAAGTGTCCCAGAAACCAGCCCCGAGGGAGCAGGGGGCATCGCGGGTCGGCACTGATGGACCCACATCATCCTTTGTAAGGGACGACGAGATCCAAACTCTCCACCCCCAAAAACTGTCCAAGGAACACGTCCGCCACCAGGACTTCCAGGGTGCAGCATGACCCTGGTGTCATACTGAAATTCGGGCGAAGGAAGTGAGCTGGCGATGTCTGGCTTTAAAATAGTGCTGGTTCCTCCACCTTGGCAAGGGAAGGGGTTTCAGCTGCTCGCAGGGGCTGCCACAATCCTGCCCCGATGCGGTGCTGCGGGAGGCTGGGAGAGGAGGCAAGAGCAGGGTAATGAGATAAATCAGTCCTGCAGGGTAATTAGTCCCTGAACTGCAGTACTGCTGAAGTGCTCTTGGACCAGCATTGTTGCTCAGTACCAGAGTAAGAAAATCATGAGCAATCTGTTAAAAACAACCCAACAGGAAAAGCCACCCACAGCCCCCTGGGGTCATCCCACTGTCACCAGCAGCCACGTGGGTCTGCAGCACCAGCACCGCCCCCCCTGCAGTTACACTGCCTGGGTTCTGGGGCAACATCACCTTCATCACCTTTTTTTTTTTTTTTTCACCATTCTGAGCATTTTGAGTCCCCTCGCGCTCCACAGGTGGGCAGTGGTTGCACGTCGCAGGGTCAGAGCTGTATTTCTGCAAGGATGAACGAGAGAGCAGCGGGCTGCACCCTGCCACGCACAGAAATCGGGGATCTGGCACCATTTTAGGGGCGCAAAGTGAAGATTAACTTTGCCCTTCTCTGGACCTAAATTCCTGGTGGGAGTGACAGCTTTGCGAGCAGTCTTTTCCAAGGAAGCAGCTCAGCTGATCGGCTGATGTAAGACAAGGAGGAAGCTCGGGACGTGCAAAACACCAAATCATCTTCTCGCTGCCAGCACCTGATCCAGCTGCAGCCTGGCGCGTGCCTCCCCCAAACCTTTCTGAAAGGAACTGGAACTTTTTTTTTTTTTCCCTGCAGCTGCACATGAGATCCGACGGGCTGCTGGGCTCGAGATCAGCTCGGGCTGGGACTGTTGGTGGTCCTTGGGGGGGGCTCCCGGCCACCTCCAGCACCCCGCTGCTGAATGCTGGCTCAGCCAGAAGTCCAGCTCTTGGAAGTGGCCGTGGGCGAGCAGCGCCGGGTGCCCTGCCCAGCGTTGTGCAACCCAAATTTCTGCAGCAGTCAGACCCAACCCCGTGCCTTGTGCAAGCTGCCACGGAGCAGAGATTGAAACCCTGCTTGCAATTTGTTTTTTTTCTTTTGATGATTTGTCTTTTTTTTTTTTTTTTCCCCTGTGTCGCCGGCCGTGGGCTCCCTCTAGCGAAGCCGGGGCCGTGGGCTGCAGCCGTGGGGTCCCACAGCCTCCCCTGGCCACGTCCTGCCTCGTCCCCGGGGGGCTGCGGGCTGTGGGGTCGCATCCAGCTCCTCACCCGGTGCTCAGCATCTCATCGCTGTCCCTCACCCCCAGCCCACAGCGATTCCTTTCCACGCTCCAGTCCTGCGCTGGGCTCTGCTGTTCCTCGACGCCAGATTTTTCAGGGCCGGGAGCAGCTTTTTTGGGTGCTGGAGGGTCCTGCCCTATTTGGCAGGGCTGAGCGGGATCCCCCCAGCCCAGGATGTGGGTGCTGGTCGCGGGGTGTGGATGCCGGGGGTCTCGGGGCCAGGCTGCTGCCACGCAGGGGGGCTCAGATCTTGGGCAGCGTCACGCTGGCGTAAACCGTCATGGGCTCCGCGTCGGGGCTCTGCTCACAAGGAAAGAAGGAGGTGAGTAAGGTGCCCAAATTGGGGTGCCCAAAGTGGGGAACCCACGTTCCCTTACCTGCGAGAGGGGCGAGCAGCCCCGTGGGGTGGGCGGCTCTGCCCGGGGGCTGTGCTGGATCCGGCCGGGGGCCTGGGCTGTGTCCGGGGGCAAACCGGTGGCTGCGGCGTAGATGGTGGTGCAGGAGGGGTGCTCCGTGCCGGGGGGGCTGCAGGGGATTTTCTGCTTCTGTGCAGGGAGCAAGGGGTGAGCGGTGCCAGACAGGTCGCTGCGGGGGCTCTTCCCTCCCTTCAGCCCTGCAGGACCCCAAATCTCATCCCGGAGCAGGATTTGGGAAGGGAAAACTTTCCCCCAGAGCCACCCTCGGGATGTTAGGGGCTGGGGAAGCTGCAGCACCCAACCTTACTCCCAGAAAATCCCAAACTAAGGTGACCGGGATGGTTCTCGGGACCTCACCATGCTGGGGGGTGACACCCATGGGCCCACGACCCCCCCAGTCCCACCATGGGCATGATCTCGCCACCTCCCTGGCTCAGCCCCCACCAAATGCATCGACACCCAGTGACCAAAGCCCACTCGTGGCAGAGCCACGAGCGCACACCCAGCACAGCTTTGGGGTGCTGCTTCCTTCCCTGCTGCCCGCACCCAGGCTGCAGCCCCCCAAGCATCTCCCCCTGTGCCTGAGCTGGGCTCTCTCACCTCCACCCGCTGCACTTGGGAGTAGATGGTGCGCACCTCGTTGTCCTCGGGGAGCGGCGTGTGCTTCCGCAGCCGGCCTGCCAGGGGAGACAGAATCACAGAATCACAGAATTGTCTAGGTTGGAAGAGACCTCAAGATCACCGAGTCCAACCTCTGACCTAACACTAACCAGTCCTCCACTAAACCATATTGCTAAGTTCAACATCTAAACGTCTTTTAAAGACCTCCAGGGATGGGGACTCCACCACTTCCCTGGGCAGCCCATTCCAATGCCTCACAACCCTCTCGGTAAAGAAGTTCTTCCTAATATCCAACCTAAACCTCCCCTGGCACGACTTTAGCCCGTTCCCCCTCGTCCTGTCACCAGGCACGTGGGAGAACAGACCAACCCCCACCTCACTACAGCCTCCTTTAAGGTACCCATAGAGAGCAATAAGGTCACCCCTGAGCCTCCTCTTCTCCAGGCTGAACAAGCCCAGCTCCCCCAGCCGCTCCTCGTAGGACTTGTTCTCCAGACCCCTCACCAGCTTCGTCGCCCTTCTCTGGACTCACTCAAGCACCTCGATGTCCTTCTTGTAGCGAGGGGCCCCAAACTGAACACAGTACTCGAGGTGCGGCCTCACCAGAGCCGAGTACAGGGGGACAATCACTTCCCTAGCCCTGCTGGCCACACTGCTTCTGATACAAGCCAGGATGCCGTTGGCCTTCTTGGCCACCTGAGCACACTGCTGGCTCATATTCAGCCAACTATCAACCAATACTCCCAGGTCCTTCTCTGCCTGGCAGCTCTCCAACCATTCCTCTCCCAGCCTGTAGTTCTGCTTGGGGTTATTGTGCCCCAGGTGCAGGACCCGGCACTTGGCCTTGTTAAACTTCATGCAGTTGACCTCAGCCCATCGGTGCAGCCTATCCAGATCCTCCTGCAGAGCCTTCCTACCCTCGAGCAGATCGACACACGCACCTAGCTTGGTGTCATCTGCAAACTTACTGAGGGTGCACTCAATCCCCTCATCCAGATCATCGATAAAGATATTAAAGAGAACTGGCCCCAGTACTGAGCCCTGGGGGACTCCACTAGTGACTGGCCTCCAACTGGATTTGACTCCATTCACCACGACTCTTTGGGCCAGACAAAGTCACCACAGCACCATAGGACAGCTGCTGGGGACCCCCCTCACACCCTGGTCCTGACCCAAAAGTATCACAAGGGACAGCCTCGGTGTTTCCCCAGCACTGCAGGGCGGTGGGCTCAGCACTGCACGTTCCCAGCACGGTGAATTTGTCCCTTTGTGAATTTTGTCCCCCTTTGTGAATTTTGTCTCCCTTTGTGAATTTGTCCCTGCACAGGGGACAGGGGAGCAGGGCAGCCGGCGCCCTCGTCGAGGTGTCTGGGGAGATGATGCTGTCACAAATTTGGGCTGGGATCATGCGTTTCCCCTTGAAACCACGTGATGTGATCACAGAAGCATAGCATCCGGGTAAAGCACTCGAGATGTGCTAGGTGAAGCAGGTATATACATATATATAAATACATATTTCTTTTTTAAGCTGGTTTCCTTCCTGCCTTTCATCCCGTGCTTCGAAAGAAGCAGGTTTCGCTCCCTCCCCAGCACCACGGACCCCAAGACGAGGTACTGCAGGGATCAGCCTAGCTGGGTGGGGGCTGTGATCCCCTCCTGTCCTCCCCAAAAACCTCCCGTGCCCCCAGCTGCACTCCCTGACACTCACCCACGTGTAAGGCAGTGAAGACCCCGAAGAGGACCAGCGCGACCACTATGGGCACCACCACCAGCACCAGGTTCAGCCCCGGACTGGCACTCCCTGTAGTGCAGAGAGGGGAAATGGTCAACACCAGCCCCCCAGCAGAAAAACCTCCCCATTTAAAACCATCCTGGGTCTTGTCATCTACATCTGAGGCTGATTTTTCGGTAGAACAGGAAACGAGGGGCAGGAAATGCTTTCTTTTGAACTCGGCTTTCAATAAGCACCTCCAAACTGCAGCCGTCAGCGAAAAAGCTGCTGGGGGCTAGATCGGGGCCAGATAAGGCCCTAAATACCGCTCTGGTGGCTTCGCAGGGATCAGCAGGGAGACAGCCTCTGGGTGCTGCAGGTGCATGGGAAGGGGGCCCAGGGACAGAGCTCTGAGGGTGGCACCGGGCTGCCACCACCGTTAACGCATGTGGCACAGGGGTGTCCCCATGTGCAAGGGGCTGGGGGGACGAGGGGGGACAAACACGCCCGAAACCCTGGCATCATCTCCTTTTGGCATCTTCTTTTCCTAGTCAAGGCCCGGAGACGCCACGGGGACGTTTGCTGGGCACAGGGTGCTGTGAGAGCCCCGGAGTGGGTCAGCACCACAGGGAGGTGACTTCACACCGTGTCCCCAGGGAAAGGGGCAGCCGCTGCTTCCCCCAGCCCCAGCAAAAGTCCCAACATCACGAGGAAGGGCAAGAAAACCCCAGCGAGAGAGAACACGGCTTTTGCCCCGAGAACCTCCGAAGGGGAAGTTGTCACCGAGGTTTTTTTTTCAATCCTCCCCGGCCCTCCCAGCGTGCAAATCGCATGCATTGAAAATGAGCCTTGGGCACCGGGGCGCAGCGAGTGCGGGGACGAGACCCACGGCTCGGCGTTTACGGGAAGGACCGGGCAGCCCTGAGCAGGCAACGCTGCGGCCGCTTTTCCTGCAAAAGGCTCCTCTGAGGCTGCCGAAAGCAACGTGAAAAAAAATCCCCTGCAGAGCCAGAGCGGGGCTGGAGGTGGGAAAGAGCCGGGTCGGCGGCTGTAGCATCCCTGGGGACTCACCCCACTGCTCGAAGCTGCAGGCGGAGGAGTTGAAGGTGACGGTGCTGCTGCTGACGGGGTTGCTGGCGGTGCAGGCGCAGGCCAGGCTGGTGGCGTTGAGGTGGTAGGAGAGGTGCAGGAGGCTGCCGTTGTGGGCGCAGGGCGACGAGGAGCTGGCCTCCAGGCCGGTCCAGCTGTAGGACACGTTGTCCCCTCTGGCCGCCGTGCAGTTGAGGGTGACGGTGCAGCTGTCGTTGGCCAGAGCCCAGCTGAGGACCTGGATGTCGGGATCGGACACCGGCTCTGGGTGGGGAGAGGGGACAGAGGCTCGTTTCTGGGGAAGGATGGAAACGCCGCCTCGTCCCCTGGCTTGGGAAATCCCACCGACCTCCCCTAGCTCCTAGGGAGGTGGGGAGAAATCGATCTGGCCCCAGGCCTGCTGCGGCCTCTCCAAACGGGGACGAGGTCTTCATGTACCCAAATACTCCTGGGGATACCAGAGAGGGTCCTGGACATTATGGGGGGCATCTCTCACCAGCCCCACACCCCACCCCATTGCTGCCCACCTCCCAGACCCGCTCCCAGCACCACAAGAGGCCATCACGGCCCTCCAAAACCAGTGCCTCTCACCATACACTTCCAGCTGTATCTGCCAGACCTTCTCCTTCGCGTCCTTGCTGATGATGTACTCGTAGAGCCTCTGGTCCTGCCGCTGGGTGCTGAGGATCTCCAGCGAGAAGTTGGAGGAGTGGAAGTGGTTCTGGCTCGGAGCGTAGTTGGTGTAGTTTCCATTCATGTACTTGAGCAGGACTTCCTTGCTTTGCGGGTCCGATGTGTCCCGCTTCCACGTGGCCACCCCAAAGCTCTGGGTGAGGTTCTGGAACTCCTGGGGGATCCACAGGACCGTCGCCTTCCCCAGCGTGCCCAGCACAGTCTCCCTCGTCCCGCGGCCCATGCCTGGGAGGAGAGCAAGGAGAAGGGCTGACGCAGGCAGAGATGCATGAGGACACCCCAGAGGGCTCACAGAAGCTGCGCCCTCCCTGGTGCTGCTGGAGAACAGATGCCACCCGAGCTGCACGAGCAGGGAACGGTGTTGGACCCACCCTGGTAATCTGGAGATGGCATCTGCTCAACAATCTGCTCAGCTGCTTTACTGAACTGCATTTTCAGCCCGCCTGAACCCTTGCTCGTGCACCACATCCTGCATCAGCGACTGCCATGGCTCTCAGGGTAAGAGGGAACGCAAGTGGCTCCCTGCCCCAACGTCCCTGCGTGCTCCCAGCTCACAGGGACCCCTTCAGCACCCACTGGAGCAGGGCCACCTCGAGCAGGGGAAGGCGATTGTGGCCCTGGTCCCATGGGGAGGTGATGCCCATGGGGTGGCCGGAGCACCCTGGAGCAGCCTTGGTGACACCAGGGTCACTTGGATGGAAGTGATGCTTGGTGGCCCTCGGCCAAAGCCTGTGGCTGGGTGTGCATCAGGGCATGCGCCCCCCTGAAGTGCTGCAGCTACAGAAACCTCCCTGGGGAGTTTTCTTTGAGGAATTGCAGGAAACGCAGCCCCACAGGCTGGCTCTCCCTTCTCCTCTCACCCAGGAGCTAGTAGGCAGTGAGGAGACGAGGTGGTCCCACGGTGTCTCTTGGGTGTCTCTTGTCTCTCACCAAGAGCAGCTCCAATGATGGTTGGCGCATGCACCCCAACGTACCCAAAAGCATCCCGCCCGCCCATCTGTCCTGGCAGAGGCGCAGCTCAGGGCTTCTACCCTTCTACCCAACCCTTTCCTGCTTCAGTCTGTGACCCCATGATTCACATTTGCCCACTAGCCTCCGTGAACCCTGAGCTTGTTTTTGTAGGAAATAGTGCGGAGAGCAATGCCAGCTCAGCGCCGCTTGCTGCTGGAGCACAGAGGGGACCCGACCATGTCACCCCCATGTTTCCTATCCACTTCTTTCCATTGAGGCTTGTCCCAGAAGGGAAAAGGAAAGTGTGGGACTCGCTGCACAAGAGCAAGCCTGGTGGGGCCCAGATAAGCCCAGTATCCGCCTCTCCTGCTGCATACACATTTCCAGTAAAAACCACAAGAGAGCTCAGAGCGACCGTTTTCCTCACCCACCATCCCGAGTACATGCCATCACTTATTTTTTCCCCCTCTGTGGCACAAAACACAGCAGCTTCAGAGCTGTCCCTGTGAATTACGTCTCCACGGCGCCGACCCAGCCATGCAGACACGGCCGTTATCCCGCAGAAATGCCGAGCCCCGGCTGACCCAGCAGCTGCCACGTTTACTGTAAAGCCCAGCACGGAGCTGGATGTTGTCTTTTCTCGGCGGCCTGGAGCGCGGCAGTTAAGCTCCTGATTAATTACCGAATGGAAAAGCCCTTTTTGCATCACGTTAGAAAAACCCTCTGCCCCGGCAAGAAGCAGCTCCCGGGGAGAGGAGACGTTTCCCCATGGGGAAGGCGGCTCGGCTGGAGCAGGGATGCTGTGGGAGGGATGCGAAGAGGGCCAAAAGCATCCGCACAAACCCAGCTGGAGGGGCTGGAGGAACACAAGCGACGTGAAGGGTCCAAAGCAGCCCCTGCATCAGGTATTGTGTTCGTGGGACTTTCGGCACACTGGCCGGACAGAAAACCCCAGGGAGATTTCAAGGGCAGGTGTTCTAGTAACAGTGAGCCAGCAGAGTTGAGCAGAAACCCCAGCTCCACGAAGCTGCCAGTTTCCTGGACGAAGCTTTCGGTTTGTGCCCAGCGAGGACGCAGAGGGCTGCAGGGGGACACAGTGTCCCCCGGGGATGGGGACGCTGGGCTGGCACCAAAAAGGGGGTCGGGATTTATCACTGATCTCCCTCTGCTCGGCTCGGGGGCCCCGGCTCCCCCCAAACAGGTTTAACACTGAACTTTTCTCAGCACCCTCCCGCTACACGCTGCAGCCCCTGGAAAGGAGGACCCCGCGCCCTGGCACTGCCCCGACCCCTCCTGGGTTTTCTGGGTGTCCCCCGACCCTCTGCACCACGGGGACTGCGGGTGCTGGACCTGGAGGGGTCTCAGCGCCCAGCACAGCCGATCCAGAGGGGTTTGAATCCTTCATTTTTAAACAGAAAGCGACAACGTCCCCAGACATCACCCGCTCCCAATCCTACACGTTTTATTGCTGCGGTACAATCTCCCAGCCCACCGGCACCTCAAGCTGAGGTAACCCAAGATAAAATCTGCCAAAATCTGCCAAATCTACTACACACCTCCCGTACCCAAGCCCACATCTGGTAGCGAATGATTTGCTCGGTGCTGTTAATACCTCGTTAAAACACACACAGAGTACTTCATTGCTGCAAATACACTTTCCCCATCACCATCTTTGCCCCTCCAGCCTCTCTTATTCACTCCTCCCTCGGTCTGCCTGGTAGGAGCGTATTAGGGATGCACGGCACATCCAGCCTGGAGTTGTGAGTCATTTGTCTTCCAGATGAATATTTATATTTATCTGCCTGCCCACCCAGCGCACGGCTCCCAATTTCTAAAAGCCCCAATACCTGACGATCCCCAAACCATCCGAACCACGTATTTTGCAGGTAGGAAGGCGTTATGTACCCCAGACACGGCAGAAGGAGACGACCAGCCAGAGACACACGCTGCAGCCCATGCCTCGCTTCACGGAGCTGCTGCCGGAATGAAGCTAATATCTGCTGCCGGGCTCATTATAAGAACAGGTGTACTCAAATCAGAGGCACTGCTGTGGGCCATGTGTTTCCTGTTTTTTTCAGCAGAATGACTGTTTTTCTTGAGTGGAAACTATTCAAAGCGTAGAGTCACTGCTGAATGCTTCACTGGAGAGCACCAGAGAGACTTGCAAGAAGGACCCAGACCATTGATTTATCGTTTTCACCAGAACTACATCATCCAGCCACAGGTCCTTAACCCAAACCCAAAAGAAGAGGAAACGGCCAGTAAGAAAATTATTTCATGTACGGTAACAGCTTCCTGGGGCTGCCCGGCGCCTGTGAATGCGGTGGAGGGGAAAAAGGAGGTGAAACGAGCGGATCCCACACCACAGTAGCCACAAAGCTCAGCAGGGCCCCTCGCTGCAGGAAAAACACTGGATATTTTGGGATTAGCCCACTCTGGACACACGGGACCCTTGGTGGTTCCAGCCTGCAGCTTCAGCTCCATGGCCTCGCTGCAAGCAGGAGCAGAGGTGGCCTTTAACACCCATCGAGGAGAAGCCTGATCCTTGTTCTCAGGCTGAGCATCTTTTGGCCCCAGTTTGCTCCTGTACCACTTAAGCCCATCCCCATGGGCCCAGCCCAGCCAGGACTTGGGGATGGGGACAGTCCCCGCTCCTGTGGGTGCCCCCCATGTTGAAGGAGCAGGGAGGGGACATGGATGGAGCAGGGACCACGCTCAGTGAGCATCGGAGATGGGGAGCGTGGGGAAAATACCGCCCGCACGTTCCATTGCTGGGAAGGGGTGAGAAGAGCTTGGTTGTTTTTGTATTTTTAGTGGAATGAATTATTCATCTCCGCCGTTGCTTGGCCTGCAAAGCGTTGCTGCTTTACAATGGGAGAAGGTTGTTTGCTTTGTTTTGTTTTTTTTTCCTATTGCTCTTTTCACGTTTTTCTTACTTTTTCTCTCCTGGTTTGCAGAAGAGAGCAGAGGCAACAGCATAAAGCACAAATTCCTCCGCTGGCTTAAAACAGACCAAATTTAAGTGTCAGGATGAAATAAAAGCTGAATTTATGCGCTTCACCATTTTTCAGCGGAGCAGAGCTCTGAGCGCTCCACGACTTTTGTCACCAATAAATTATTTCTAACACTAAAAAGCAAAGTTATGCCTAAAACCACACCAAACCAGCCGGTGCTCCCTGGCGTCCTGCCGGGCTGTTCCTTCCCACTCAGAAAGCATCTGTCTGAGAAAGCAAGGCCTTTCCCAGGAAAGGGGAGAGCTCAGCAGAGGTGTAAAATAGAAAGAATGAGTAAGAGCAGTACGGAGGGGACTCTGCTCCTTTCTCACAGCGTGCAAGGAGCGTGGGCTCGGCCGAAATTTGGCAGCCGGCTTGGAGGATGCTGAAGCAGCCGGATGAGAGGGGGCTTGGGTATCTCCTTGGTCTCATGATGGAGGGGTTTGGGGCATCACCTGGGGGCATTTAGCAGAGCACCCGGCTGCCCCAGCAGAAATCCCACCAAGAGCCGGTGCTCAGGAAGGGTCTTTCCCATGGATGTGCTCTCCAGTGTTCCCACACTGGCTCGGTCATGTGGGCAGGGTGTTGTGACGGTCCCCAAGGGGGACCCTGGTTCTGTCAGGGTTTGAATGCCCCCAGCCACCAAGAGAAATCATTCAGACAGCACAAATACTCATCCAGGAAGTATGAAGGGGTGAGGAGAGGAAAAACGGTGGTGGGAGCTCACAGAAAAACTCCCTTTACCTGGAAAGAAGGATCCTACACGCTGCTGGTTTCCCCATCAGAAGCCAGGCAGCTCAGGCTGAAGTCTCCTGGCTGGAAAGGTGAGCGAGGCACCAGCTAATGCTTTGGAGGGGGCTTTCTGTAGAAACCCACATTGGTACTGAAATCTCAGACTGCCACACACGAGGAATTACCCTGGGCCTCTTATTAAACCCGGGAGCTGGAACAACTCGTGCTTGTTCCTGATTCTCAAACGAGCCACCGAGGTCCATGCCACCCCTTTGGTGAATCTGGCCCTGGGAGCCTTTATTTAGTGATGGATCTGGGAAGTTTGCTCTTGGGTTGTAGGGAGAAGAGAGCCCGATTCTTCATTTTCTCCATCTGATTTGCTGGAGTTGACAGGAGCAGCAGCACCCCGGGCAGCTGTGGCCCTGTGCGATGTCCCCATCCCCCCTTGCAGTCTCAGGGATGTCACCATCACTCACAAGGCACGTCCCCCTGCCCTGCGTGCCTCCGACTGCTCCCACAGGGGACAGCTGTAGAAGGGCTCCTCTCCCCAGCAAGGGCAGTGGGAACAAACACAGCTCCCCAGTCACCCCCGGTCCCCAGGCACCCGCTGCCACCGACACCAAACCCCAGACCAGAGGAAAGGGGGCACCAAGCCAGGAGGAATGAAGCAAATGCACCCAAAAACATGAGGTCTGGTGTGGAAAGAAAAAAATTTACTGTATGCATACAACATGATTCCACTATTGAGTCACCCTGGGCTGAGAAAAGTCAATCTTAAATGTCTCAAGGTCCTGCTCCAGTGCTCCACTACTGGATGTGGGGCTGCACTGGCCATATCACATACTTTCCCTGAAAGTGTCACGTGCTGTGTACCAGCCCTCATAACCACACCACACAGCAGTCCCCTAAGAGCATTCCCCCCCAGTGGCTGGCAGACACCAGGAGAGCTGAGGATGCCCACTGCCATGGGGAACCTGCAGGAAAGGCTCGGCTCAGGTCTCAGAGCTAGGGCTGGGTGCATTTTTGAGCTGCTAAATGACCATTTGGTGATTCGCATTGCTCGGACTCTCAAAGTGCCGTTGAAAGAGACTTGCCATCTGGGGGCTTCATCCAGGTTCTACCCTCACAGCAGAGGGGTGACGAGACGGAGACGCCAACAGACAGCAGCCACAGAGTGTCATTAATGCAGAGCGAAGAAGAGGAGGAGGAGGTGTCCCAGCAGCATCAGCATGCTGGTCTTGGTGGCGGTGGAGACAGCAGAGGACTCAGCTGGAGGCAGAGGACAAACCAAGATGTGAGAGCAGCCCCAGTGGGACCACCACAGGGCTGGAACACGCAGCCCCACGGTCCCTTCCCAGGGGGCTCCTGCCGACCCCAGCCCATGGGAAAAGGAACCTGACCCCTGGGACACCCGGCAGCCACCTCCCGCCCATCTCACCCAGGTTCTGCCACCTGGTACAGCCGGTACCTGTCCACGAGCAGGGGTGCCTGCGGATCAGCCGGGCGCTGCTGGAGGACACGGGGTTGCTGGCCCTGCACGTGTAGGTTTCCAGGGAGGGGTTGAAGGAGAGGGGCACGGATGCCGTTGGTGCTGTTAGAGCCCACTGGCATGACCCTGCTGGGGGGCATCCACTCATAGGTCACGTCTTCCATCTGTACCCAGCACTCCAGGGTGACATCGCAGTGCTCCGGATTGTTCCCATGCACTATCGCATTCACGGTAGGTTTGGGGACCACATCTGCAAGAGGCACTGGGATGTCACAGCCCACACTGTCCCCAGAGGGGTGCCGGGACCACCAATCCCCCAGGCTCACCATACACCTTCAGGGAGACGCTGTAGGTGTCCTCCTTGCCCGCCACGTCCTCCAGGTACACCCGGTAGGTGTTGCTGTCGTTTTTCAGCAAGCTGCTGATCTTCAGCGTATTGTTGGGGAAGAGCTTAAGGCGGTCCTTAAAAGGGCCATTGGGGTACTGGACCCCCTTCCCGTTCTCGTTGATGGCGATCTTCAGGGAGCTGCCATAGCGCCAGTGGCTTTGGTGGTAGGTGGTCGTCTGGGTCTGCGGCGGGGGGCTGAGGTACACCACGCCTCCCACTACCCCTACAACCTGCGAGGAGGCTTCCTGCACCTGTGCTGTGGGGAGAGCAGAGAGTTGAGCTTGGGGGGATGGGGCAGCCCCTTGCCTCAGCCAGCTGCCTTTGTAGCCCCCTGGGGCTGTGAGGCATCGGAAAAGGCTGCCCAGGGAAGGGGCTGGGCCACCATTCAGGGACACGGTCTCCTGGCAGACCTGGCAGCGCTAGGGTAACGGTTGGACCTGGTGGCCACGGTGCTCTTTGCCCAGGGAGGTGGTGGGGCCACTGCCCCTGGGGGCCTTCAAGGAAAGGTTGGACGTGGTATGGCCAGCAGGGCTAGGGAAGAGATTGTCCCCCTGGACTCGGCTCTGGTAGGGCTGCACCTCGAGTACTGTGTTCAGTTTTGGGCCCCTTGCTACAATAAGGACATCGAGGTGCTTGAGCGAGTCCAGAGAAGATCGACAAAGCTGGTGAGGGGCCTGGAGAACAAGTCCTACAAGGAGCGGCTGAGGGAGCTGGGCTTGTTCAGCCTGGAGAAGAGGAGGCTCAGAGGTGACCTTATTGCTCTTTACAGATACCTTAAAGGAGGCTGTAGCGAGGTGGAGGTTGGTCTATTCTCCCACGTGCCTGGTGACAGGACGAGGGGGAACGGGCTAAAGTTGTGCCAGGGGAGGTTTAGGTTGGATGTTAGGAAGAACTTCTTTACCGAGAGGGTTGTGAGGCATTGGAACAGGCTGCCCAGGGAAGTGGTGGAGTCCCCATCCCTGGAGGTCTTTAAAAGACATTTAGATAGTTGAACTTAGCGATATGGTTTAGTAGGAGGACTGGTTAGTGTTAGGTACAGAGGTTGGACTCCGTGATCTTGAGGTCTCTTCCATCGTAGAAATTCTGTGATTCTGTGGTGCTTGGGGACATGGGTTAGTGAGTGACTGTGGAGGTAGGGGGAGGGTTGGACCGCCATGAGCTTGCAGGGCTGCTCAACCTTAATGATTTTGTGACTTTTTACCAAAATAAACGTTTCCATGCAATGCCCCATAGTGGGAACAAGCTGAGGCTCATCAGCCCTGTCTCCTGCCTCCGCACAGGCAGTGAAGTTTTGACTAACAGCCAGTCAGGCCAACCCCAGCTCCATTTCCTCACATCCTGTCACCAGGGACAAGAGACCAGGGCCTGCGTCGGTGCTGCCCTCATGAGGAAGCTGCTGGCCGCCATGACACCTCCCCTCAGCCTGCTCCTCTCAGGGCTACGCAAACCTCACACATCGTGCCCTCTGGTCCTTGCCATACCCCTGTTGTCCTCCTTTGGGCCCATTCTGATATTTTCATGTCCTTCATATGGTTCTGAGCCCAGAACTGCACAAGGAGCTCGGGGCGAGGCTATGCTGATGCTCATGACAGCAGGACAGCCATTTCTTCCGCACCCCTGGCTTTGGGCGGCCATTTTGGCTTCCACAGCCCCAGACGCCCCGTCCCCCCCTTCAGGGACAAGCTCCAGCTGCCTGCCCCTGTGTCCGTACACATCCATGCCTTCCCTTTTCTCAACCCTGCGAGCATCTTGTGAGGCTCGGCTTCATGCCGAGCTCTGTCACTGACATTTTTGCTCCCACTTTTGGTTCAATTCCTCCCTCCTCCCCAGCTCACTTGGCAGCCCCTTGCCACCCTTCTTGGTGGGAAACCAGTGTGCCCCATGGCGAGCGAGATGGACACCAGGGTGTCCCTGCAGGTCACAGCTTGGGGGGGGAATTGCTGGGGAAAAGATTGAGGATGGGGAAGGCTCTTGTAGGACAGGCGACTCACGGGCACTGCCCCAGTGTCCACAACCACCAGCACCACTACCACCGCCATCCCCAGCAGCATCCGCCCCCAGCCCCGTATCACAGCCCACCTGGCACCCTTCTCCTGGAGGACACCCCCCACACACACCCTGCTGTTACCTTGCACAATAGAGAAGATGAAGAGGAGCTCCGCTGCAAGTCCTACCGCCATCTTCACTGCGTTTTGGCTAGCAAAACTATCACTGAAACTCACGTGGCTCCAGCACAGAAACCCACCAAGCTCCCAGATCTCCGGTCAAGACAGTTCGTTCAGATGAAGTAGGAAAAATGCATCCTTACTCACTTCCTCTCGAGACCAAAAGCCTTCCTTGGCAAAGCCGGAGGGCGGCAGTCGAGACCCCAGCACCCCGGTCAATGAAGTTCGTTCAGACAAAGAATAAAGACTTCGTTTTTTCGGTTTTTGTGTCCACCAAACTTACCTGAGAGGTCTGGAGGGCGGCAGTCAAGCTGAGGAAGGGGAGGTTTCAGCTAGACATTTACCAACGCTGGTCCAACACTGAAACAGGCTCTCCGGAGAAGTAGTCACTGCATCGTATTGTGACTGGCCGGGATGCCCCGTGCATCCTTGGCACAGACTATCTCAGGAGAGGATTCTTCAAAGACCCAAAAGGGTTCCGCTGGACTTTTGCAATAGCTGCCTTAGAGACAGAGGGCATTACACAATTGTCTACCTTGCCTGGTCTCTCAGAGGACCCTTCTGTTGTGGGGCTGCTGAGGGTCACAGAACAGCAAGTGCCAATCGCTACCACAAATGTGCACTGGCAGCAATATCGCGCCAACCCAGACTCCCTGATTCCCATCCATAAGCTAATTCACCAATTGGAGAGACAAGGAGTGATCAGCAAGACTCGTTCACCATTTAATAGTCCCACATGGCCAGTGCAAAAGTCTCATGGTGAGTGGAGACTAACAGTGGACTATCGTGGCCTGAACGAAGTCACGCCACCACTGAGAGCTGCAGTGCCGGACATGTTAGAACTGGACTAGAACAAGTTCGGCTTCTATTCACACTAAAAAACACTTAAAAGTGAATTCACAAGGTGTATTGGATCTGTCAAAAAAAAAAAAAAAAAAAAAAAAAAAAAAAAAAAAAACATTAAAACAAGCTCATACACGGGCACTAACACACTGTCCTGGTTTTAGCAAGGATAGAGTTAATTTTCCTCCCAGTAGCTGGTAGGGTGCTATGTTTTGGATTTAGGATAAGAGTTCTGATAACATGCTGATGTTTTAATTGTTGCAGAGCAGTGCTTGCACCAAGCCAAGGACTTTTCAGCTTCTCGCTCTGTCCTGCCAGAGGGCAGGCTGGGGGTGTAACAAGCGCTGGGAGGGGACAGACTCAGGACAGCTGACCCAGACTGGCCAAAGGGGTATTCCATGTCATCTGGCATCATACTGGACAATATATAGGGGGGGCTGGCTGGGGTGGGGGTCGTCTGCTTGGGGATAGGATGGGCATCAGTCATCAGGTAGTGTACAACAGTATTGTGCATCACTTGTTTTGTACACATTTACTATTTAATTTTGTTTTGTTTTATTTTACTTTATTTTATTTTATTTTATTTTATTTTATTTTATTTTATTTTATTTTATTTATTTATTAATTTTCTGTCTTAATAAACTGTCTCTATGAACCCACAAGCTTCAGTTTCTCGTTTCTCTTCCCCGTCCCGGTGATGAGCATCCTTGGGATGTTCAGACCAGCATGTTCTCATTGTTATGTCTCCTGAATGCACTTCAGGTTTTGTCTAAGGTTAAACAAATACTTAAGAGTGTCATCCAGAGGTCTGTCCTGAGGCAGGATAGCTATGAGAGGAAGGGAGAGTGGGAGAATATGGGCAGGCATCTAGAGTAGTGGGCACCTCCAGTGCTTTGCAAACAGCCCCAAACAACTGAAAAATCCTAAAAAAGTGGTCGAGTGCTAGAAAAAGGTGTGTCATCACCCTGGCAGTACCACACATGCAGAAATCACTGCAACGTGCTGGGGTTTGGCCTGTGCTTACTGAGCTGCACTCGATGCCAATATAACCCCAGTGACAGACCGGCGGCCACTTCAACCTCTGAGACAGGCCCAGCGGCCGCTCCAAGCCCTAAAATGGGCCCCAGGGCTGAGCCAGGGAAACAAACTGAACCAGCATCGGTTCCACCTGTAACCAAGGTGAAAAAATTGTATAGAGAGTCAGGTCGTTTAGAACGCAGAGAGCCTTCTGCTAGGCCTAGGTATAGAGAAGACGAGGCCGGGCCTTCAGAGGAGCAGGAGGATGAAGAGGAAGACTTCACAAAAACAGCAGTACCTAGCCGAAACCTATACGAGCGTGAGCTATGAGATGTGAGAAAAGATTTCTTTCGCTGTATAGGTGACTTTACAGCTTCTCGCTCTGTCCTGCCAGCGGGCAGGCTGGGGGTGCAGCAAGAGCTGGGAAGGGACAGACCCAGGACAGCTGACCCAAAAAACACTTAAAAGTGAATTCACAAGGTGCATTGGTTTGTCAAAAACTAAAAAAGAACAATATAAACAAACAAAAAAAACCTAGCTCCTACACTGGCACTAACACACAATCCTGGTTTTAGCTAGGGTACAGTTAGATTTCTTCCTAGTAGCTGGTAGGGTGCTATGTTTTGGATTTAGGATGAGAAGAATGTTGATACCACACCAATGTTTTAATTGTTGCAGAGCAGTTCTTACACCAAGCCAAGGACTTTTCAGCTTCTCGCTCTGTCCTTCCAATGGGCAGGCTGGGGGTACAGCAAGAGCTGGGAGGGGACAGACACAGGACAGCTGACCCAAACTGGCCAAAGGGGTATTCCATGCCACCCAAAGGGGTATTCCATGCCACCTGGGGTCATGCTGGACAGTATATAGGGGGGACTAGCCGGGGAGGGGGGGCCAGACTGCTAGGGGTTAGACTGGGCATCGGTCAGCAGGTGGTGAGCAATCACATCATTCATCACTTGTTTTGTACACATATTTTTTATTATTGTTATTGTTGTTGTTATTATTATTTTCTGTCCTAATAAACTGTGTCTATCTCTACTCACAAGCTTAAGTTTCTTGTTTCTTTCCCCCATCCTGGGAAGGGGTGGAAAGGGCTGTATAGTGTTTAGTTGCCAGCTGGGTTAAACCACAACACACACATCCTGCATCCTCAGCTCCCACCAACGCACAGTCCAAGTTTCAAAGTCATCTTCTCCAAAGACAAGCTTCAACCACCCAGGGGTGCACTTCCCCTGAAGGTGTCACAGGTTCCAGGCTAAACGTGCTGTGTACCAGCCCTCATAACCACACCACACAGCAGTCCCCGAAGGGCATTCCCCCCCAGTGGCTGGCAGACACCAAGAGAGCTGAGGATGCCCACTGCCATGGGGAACCTGCAGGAAAGGCTCGGCTCAGCTCTCAGAGCTAGGGCTGGGTGCATTTTTGAGCTGCTAAATGTCCATTTGCTGATTCGCATTGCTGGGATTCTCAAAGTGCCGTTGCAAGAGACTTGCCATCTGGGGGCTTCATCCAGGTTCTACCCCCACAGCAGACAACATCAGCCACAACAGTGTCATTAATGGAGAGCGAAGAAGAGGAGGAGGAGGTGTCCCAGCAACATCAGCATGCTGGTCTTGGTGGCGGTGGAGACAGCAGAGGACTCAGCTGGAGGCAGAGGGAAAACAAAGACATGAGAGCAGCCCCAGTGGGACCACCACAGGGCTGGAACACCCAGCCCCATGGTACCCTCCACAGGGGGCTCGTGCCCATGGGAAAAGGGACCTGACCCCTGGGACACCCGGCAGCCACCTCCCGCCCATCTCACCCAGGTTCTGCCACCTGGTACAGCCGGTACCTGTCCACGAGCAGGGGTGCCTGAGGGTCAGCCGGGCGCTGCTGGAGGACACAGGGTTGCTGGCCCTGCACGTGTAGGTTTCCAGGGAGGGGTTGAAGGAGAGGGGCAGGGTGCTGTTGGTGCTGTTAGAGCCCACTGGCATGACCCTGCTGGGGGGCATCCACTCATAGGTCACGTCTTCCAGCTGCACCCAGCACTCCAGGGTGACATTGCAGTGCTCCGGATTGTTCCCATGCACTATGGCTTTCACGGTAGGTTTGGGGACCACATCTGCAAGAGGCACTGGGATGTCACAGCCCACACTGTCCCAAGAGGGGTGCCAGGACCACCACCCTCCCCGCCCAGGCTCACCATACACCTTCAGGTAGACCCTGTAGTCGTGTTCCTTGCCCGCCACATCCTGCAGGTACATCCAGAAATTGTTGCTGTCGTTTTTCTGCAAGCTGCTGATCTTCAGCGTATTGTTGGGGAAGAGCTCAAGGCGGTCCTTGAAAGGGCCATCGAGGTACCGGACTCCCTTCCCGTACTCATGGATGGCAATCTTCAGGGAGCTGCCGCAGTACCAGTGGCTTTGGTGGTAGGCGGTTGTCAGGTTCGGCAGTGGGGGCCTGAAGTATACTACGCCTCCCACCATCCCTACTGCCTGCGAGTTATCCGCCTGCACCCGTGCTGTGGGGAGAGCAGAGAGTTGTGCTACCAGGCATGGCTCAGGGGGATGGGGCAGCCCCTTGCCTCAGCCACCCGCCTTTGTAGCCCCCTGGGGCTGTGAGGCATCAGAAAAGGCTGCCCAGGGAAGGGGCTGGGCCACCATTCCTGGACAGATCTGCTGTGGTGCTCAGGGACATGGTCTCGTGGCAGAGCTGGCAGCACTAGGGTAATGGTTGGACCTGGTGGCCACGGTGCTCTTTGCCCAGGGAGGTGGTGGGGTCACAGCCCCTGGGGGTGTTCAAGGAAAGGTTGGACATGGTGCTTGGGGACATGGGTTAGTGGGTGACTTGGGTGGTAGGGGGTGGTTGGACCTCAATGAACTTGGAGGGCTTGTCCAAAGTTAATGATTTTGTGACATTTTTTCCAAAATAAACGTTTCCATGCAATGCCCCATGGTGGGAACAGGCAGAGGCTCATCGGCCCGACTCCTGCCTCCACAGAAGTTAGAGTCAGGGCATATATCCAAGAGTGCTGTCCACTTGCTTGAGCATTGTCTGTCTTGGGGACATGGCCATGACCCCGCAAACTCCTTCCAGGGCCTGACCAAAGCAAAGTTTTGCCTAACATCCTGTCAGGCCAACCCCGGCACCATTTCCTCACATCCTGTCACTAGGGAGAAGAGACCAGGGCCTGCGTCGGTGCTGCCCTCATGAGGAAGCTGCTGGGTGCCATGAGGCCTCCCTCAGCCTGCTCCTCTCAGGGCTACGCAAATCTCGCACATCGTGCCCTCTAGTCCTTGCCATGCCCCCGTTGCCCTCCTTTGGGCCCATTCTGATATTTTCATGTCCTTCATATGGTTCTGAGCCCAGAACTGCACAAGGAACGTGGGGCAAGGTCGTGCTGATGCTGATGACAGCAGGGAAGCCATTTCTTCCGCACCCCAGGCTTTGGGGCGGCCATTTTGGCTGCCTCAGCCCCAAACGCCCCGTCCCCCCCTTCAGGGCCACGCTCCAGCTGCCTGCCCCTGTGTCCGTACACATCCGTGCCTTCCCTTTTCTCAATGCTCGGAGCACCTTGAGAGGCACAGCTTCATGCCGAGCTCTATCACTGACATTTTTGCTTCCACTATTGCTTCCTTTTCTCCCCCCTCCCCAGCTCACTCGGCAGCCCCTTGCCCCCCTGCTTGCTGGGACACTGGGGTGCCCCATGGGGAGCAAGATGGACACCGGGGTTTCTCTGCAGGTCACAGCTTAGGGGTGGGAATTGCTGGGGAAAAGAGTGAGGATGGGGAAGGCTCAGGTAGGACGGGCGACCCACAGGCACCTCCCCAGTGCCCACCTCCACCACCACCACCACCACTGCCCTCCCCAGCACCATCCGCCCCCAGCCCGGCATCACAGCCCACCCGGCACCTTTGCCCTGGAGGACACCCCCCACACACACCCTGATGTTACCTTGCAGAATAAAGAAGATGAAGAGGAGCTCCGCTGCAAAGCCCAATCGCCATTTTCACTGCGGTTTGGCACGCGATATTATCTCTGGAACTCACATGGCTCCAGCACAGAAACACAACCAAACCCCCAGCTCTCCGGTCAAAAAAGTACATTCAAGACTAAAGAGTGGCACCGTTTCTTCCTCTTTGTGTCCTCCAGCCTGAGAGAGCCGGAGGGCGGCAGTCAAGCTGAGGAAGGGGAGGTTCGGCTACACATCAGGAAGAGGTTCTTCTCTGAGGGTGGTCCGCACAAAGGAACAGGATCTCCAGAGAAGTAGTCACTGCATCGTATTGTGACTGGCCCGGATGCTCCATGAATCCTTGGCACAGACTATCTCAGGAGAGGATTTTTCAAGGACCCAAAAGGGTTCCGCTGGACTTTTGCAATAGCTGCCTTAGAGACAGAGGGCATTACGCAATTGTCTACCTTGCCTGGTACCTCACAGGACCCTTCTGTTGTGGGGCTGCTGAGGGTCAAAGAACAGCAAGTGCCAATCGCTACCACAAATGTGCACCGGCAGCAATATCGCGCCAACAGAAACTCCCTGATTCCCATCCATAAGCTAATTCATCAATTGGAGAGACAAGGAGTGATCAGCAAGACTCGTTCACCTTTTAATAGTCCCACATGGCCAGTGCAAAAGTCTCATGGTGAGTGGAGACTAACAGTGGACTATCGTGGCCTGAACGAAGTCATGTCACGCCACCACTGAGTGCTGCAGTGCCGGACATGCTAGAACTGGACTAGAACAAGTTCAGCTTCTATTCACACTTAAAAACACTTAAAAGTGAATTCACAAGGTGCATTGGATCTGTCAAAAAATAAAAAAGAACAATATAAACAACAAAAAAAAAACTAGCTCCTACACTGGCACTAACACACAATCCTGGTTTTAGCTAGGATAGAGTTAAATTTCCTCCTAGTAGCTGGTAGGGTGCTGTTTTGGATTTAGGATGAGAAGAATGTTGATACCACACTGATGTTTTAATTGTTGCAGAGCAGTTCTTACACCAAGCCAAGGACTTTTCAGCTTCTCGCTCTGTCCCACCAACGGGCAGGCTGGGGGTGCAGCAAGAGCTGGGAGGGGACAGACCCAGGACAGCTGACCCAAACTGGTCAGAGGGGTATTCCATGCCATTTGGGGTCATGCTGGACAGTATATAGGCGGGGCTAGCTGGAAAGAGGGGGCCAGACTGCTAGGGGTTAGACTGGGCATCGGTCAGCAGGTGGTGAGCAATCACATCATGCATCACTTGTTCTGTACACATTTTTATTCGTAGTAGTAGTAGTAGTAGTAGTAGTAGTAGTAGTAGTATTTTCTGTCCTAATAAACTGTGTCTATCTCAACTCACAAGCTTAAGTTTCTCATTTCTTTGCCCCATCCCGGGAAGGGGGGGGAAAGGGCTGTATAGCGTTTAGTTGCCAGCTAGGTTATACCACAACACACACATCCTCCATCCTCAGCTTCCAGCAATACACAGTTCAAATTTCAAAGCTTTCTCATCCAAGAACAAGGTTCAACCACACAGGGGTGCACTTCCCCTGAAGGTGTCACAGGTTCCAGGCTAAACGTGCTGTGTACCAGCCCTCATAACCACTCCACACACCAGTTCCCTAAGGGCATTGCTCCCCAGCGGCTGGCAGACACCAAGAGAGCCGAGGATGCCCACTGCCATGGGGAACCTGCAGGAAAGGCTCGGCTCAGCTCTCAGAGCTAGGGCTGGGTGCATTTTTGAGCTGCTAAAAGTCCATTTGGTGATTTTCATTGCTGGGGTTCTCAAAGTGCCATTGCAAGAGACTTGCCATCTGGGGGCTTCATCCAGGTTCAACACTCACAGCAGAGGGGTGACGAGACGCTGACAGACAGCAGCCAGAGAGTTTCATTAATGCAGAGCGAAGAAGAGGAGGAGGAGGTGTCCCAGCAACATCAGCATGCTGGTCTTGGTGGCGGTGGAGACAGCAGAGGACTCAGCTGGAGGCAGAGGGAAAACAAAGACATGAGAGCAGCCCCAGTGGGACCACCACAGGGCTGGAACACCCAGCCCCACGGTCCCTTCCCAGGGGGCTCCTGCCACACCCAGCCCATGGGAAAAGGAACCCTGACCCCTGGGACACCCGGCAGCCACCTCCCGCCCATCTCACCCAGGTTCTGCCACCTGGTACAGCCGGTACCTGTCCACGAGCAGGGGTGCCTGCGGGTCAGCCGGGCGCTGCTGGAGGACACGGGGTTGCTGGCCCTGCACGTGTAGGTTTCCAGGGAGGGGTTGAAGGAGAGGGGCACGATGCCGTTGGTGCTGTTAGAGCCCACTGGCATGACCCTGCTGGGGGGCATCCACTCATAGGTCACGTCTTCCAGCTGCACCCAGCACTCCAGGGTGACATCGCAGTGCTCCGGATTGTTCCCATGCACTATCGCATTCACGGTAGGTTTGGGGACCACATCTGCAAGAGGCACTGGGATGTCACAGCCCACACTGTCCCAAGAGGGGTGCCGGGACCACCAATCCCCCAGGCTCACCATACACCTTCAGGGAGACGCTGTAGGTGTCCTCCTTGCCCGCCACGTCCTCCAGGTACACCCGGTAGGTGTTGCTGTCGTTTTTCAGCAAGCTGCTGATCTTCAGCGTATTGTTGGGGAAGAGCTTAAGGCGGTCCTTAAAAGGGCCATTGGGGTACTGGACCCCCTTCCCGTTCTCGTTGATGGCGATCTTCAGGGAGCTGCCATAGCGCCAGTGGCTTTGGTGGTAGGTGGTCTTCTGGGTCTCCAGCGGGGGGCTGAGGTACACCACACCTCCCACCACCCCTACTGCCGGTGACTTATCCGCCTGCACCCGTGCTGTGGGAAGAGCAGAGAGTTGTGCTACCAGGCATGGCTCAGGGGGACGGGGCAGCCCCTTGCCTCAGTCACCCACCTTTGTAGCCCCCTGGGGCTGTGAGGCATCAGAAAGGCTGCCCAGGGAAGGGGCTGGGGCACCATTCCTGGACAGATCTGCTGTGGTGCTCAAGGACACGGTCCCGTGGCAGACCTGGCAGTGGTAGGGTAATGGTTGGACCTGGTGGCCACAGTGCTCTTTGCCCAGGGAGGTGGTGGGGTCACCGCCCCTGGGGGTGTTCAAGGAAAGGTTGGACATGGTATGGCCTGCAGGGCTAGGGAAGAGATTGTCCCCCTGTTCTCGGCTCTGGTGAGGCCGCACCTCAAGTACTGTGTTCAGTTTTGGGCCTCTCGCTACAAGAAGGACTTGGAGGTGCTCAAGCGAGTCCAGAGAAGGGCGACGAAGCTGGTGAGGGGCCTGGAGAACAAGTCCTACGAGGAGCGGCTGAGGGAGCTGGGCTTGTTCAGCCTGGAGAAGAGGAGGCTCAGGGGCGACCTTATCGCTCTCTACAGGTACCTTAAAGGAGGCTGTGGAGAGGTGGGGGTTGGTCTGTTCTCCCATGTGCCTGGGTACAGGACAAGGGGGAATGGGCTAAAGTTGTGCCAGGGGAGGTTTAGGTTGGATATTAGGAAGAACTTCTTTATGGAGAGTGTTG